GCTTACTCAAGATGAGCTCTGCGAGTCACAGCGGGCACTCCAGAGGAGCCGGAACGTTAGAGCCAGCAGCGACCATAGGGCAAGGCGCGCGGTTTGGCTCATGCTTGGGCTTTGTGAGCGAACTTCGTCCGTTTGTAAAGACACACCCCCAAATCTCTCTGAGTGAGTTTCCCAACAGCTTTCGGATATTTTCTCCTGGCAAATGGTCCAGGTTTTGTTGCTCTCTCACCCTTTCTGTTTCTGTCTTCTAAATGCAATTACAAGTGTTTAGGCCGCAGCGGAGCGATCACAGTCACTCCAATACGAACTGCCTAGCTCTGGCTCCAAGATTCATTCTTTCTTCCTTTCTTCTTTTCTTTCTTTTTTTAAAAAAGGGAAATGGATAGAAGACTTTTCTTCTCCGCTCTGTACAGAATAAGAAGCAGAAAGTGATATTCTTGCCCACGTTAAGTCAGTCATCTGGCTGGGACTACCGTCCCTCACACCTGAAACTGTCCTTGACACGAAGAGTAATTCTTGCCCACATCAGAAAATGAGCCCATGATGTCAAGTTTTGGCAGCAAACATGGCCGGACATCACTCAAGGTCTATGAGTGACTATCTCTTGACTGCTTCAGTGTTCTCTTGCTGGATGTGGGGAATGAGATATTGTTGAATACACATTCAGGAAAGACCTTTCTGAGAGACTGGGTGGGTTTTTTTTTTCTTTCTTAGATTTATTTATTTATTTATTTATTTATTTATTTATTTATTTATTTATTATGTATACGGTGTTCTGCCTGTGAGTACACCTGCACACCGGAAGAGGGCACTAGATCTCATCACAGATGGTTATGATTCAGCATGTGGTTTCTGGGAATTGAACTCAGGACCTCTGGAAGAGCAGCCAGTGCTCTTAACCTCTGAGCTATCTCTCCAGCCCAACTGGGTGTTTTTTAATCCTCTTGCTTAGATATAGGATCCTCAGGGATAAGGAATTTTTAACTTGATAATATTCTATGACCTTTTCTTGTCAATATCTTACACATTGAGAGTTGCTATTTGGATCTATCAGTTTTGCTGCTATTTGTCATAAGTAGATTGATCCTAAACTGTATGTGATTTCACTTAGATTTTTTTACAAAATTTTATGATGGTGCAAAAGCAATATGCATATATAAGAAACCCTACTTAAATTTTGAGTGTTAATCTTTCCCCAGGTTGGAATGGCCTCATCCTCAGCACTCTGACGATTTCTGAGTCTCTGCTGTTGAAGAGGCATCTCTGACTAATGCTGAGAGCTACACTAGTCTGTGGGTATAAGCATAAATATGAATAAAGCAGTTTAACTGCATGTCCATTGAGCTATAGTTAAACCTTTTCTACCTGTTGCTCTTTTCATATCATAGTTCCTTCTCTTACTTTTTTAGCACACTGATCACATTTTATTTTACATTGTTTGATCATTCCAGAACTGAGGTCTTCATGGGCCTTCCTCTTCTACTTGTTATTTCGGTCAGCTCTTGCCTTGCTCCCCCTTTCCCTCATGAACTCTGATTCTTGCTCCATCCATGTCCAGAAAGCAAATCTGCTCTAGCATTAAACCAACATTTAATTTTGTGCTTTTGTGAACTCTCTGGAAACTACAATTCCAGGCTGCAAATCCCTGGGAGATTGCCTGGTTCCATTGCCATAGGAAGTCAGGCTGCAGGAAATTATACAGAAGGGGATTTGGGGTTGGGGTAGATTTCTTCTATCAAAGATGCACTGGGAAGTTTGCTTCTCTGAGTTTGAGGCCAGCCTGGTTCTTTCCAGGACAGCCAGGACTACACAGAGAAACCCTGTCTTGAAAAACAAAACAAAACCAAAACTAACATCAAAATCCAAACCCAACCAATCAACCAACCAAAACATAAAAACAAACAAACATACAAACAAATAAAACCCAAAAAACTTAGTTTGAGGCGAGCATCGGTGGGCTTTTGGTCTTGAATTTACCCTACAAGGCTGTGACGTCCACCAGGTTAAGCTCAGAAGTTCACCTGTAACTTTCCATCCTATTTTTTCCCCTCAGTCTGGGGAACTGAGTTTAGACTCTCACACTTGTTAGGCAAACTCTCTGCCACTGAGTTATATGTGCAACCCTTTCTATTTTCTTTCATCCAAAGCATTCCTTGCTCCCTTGTCAGCTCCTTGACACAAGAAGGAGGGTGTTTTAGCCAACAGATTTAGGTATCCAATGGGAAAGTCAGTTTGGGTGCCTATCATACCTTATTGCTATTAAAAAAAAAAAGTATTAACATAGCCTTAACATTTCTCTGATCTATCTATTTTTTCTGGTTCCTACTAATAATGCCTTGGTTTATGTCTGGTTTCTGGTTCCTTTCCAAAATCTTCCAACACTATCCTCTGCTTCCAAACTCTCTCTTTCTCTTCTCTCATCTCTCTGAGAGAGCTGTATCAACGAGGCTAAGAGTGAAGTGCAGAAAGCTAGGAAGTAGTAAGTGAGAAACAAGGGATGAGATGGGGGCTAAGGAGACAGCTCTGTGGGTAAAGGCATTTGCTGCCAAACTTGGTGACCCTAAGTTCAATCCCCAGGACCGACTCGATGAAAGAAGAGAACAAATTCCTGCAAGTTTTCTTCTGATTTCCACATGTGTACTGCAGTACAAAGACGATCACACACACACACACACACACACACACACACACACACACACACACACGGTGGAAGTAGGCTCTCTGATATAACAGCCTCTTTTTCCCAGAAGATACATGGAGGAGAAACATTAGGAATAGGAAGGCAGTTTGGGAGATGGCGTCTAATCAGGACCAACAGGGCAAAGGGGAGGACCTGGAGGCTTTGTAAAATACCTGAGCCACAGTCCAGTTATTGGATTCAGAACCTTTGGGTGCCTCCCATCCAGAAAAGAAAAGTTGTTACCATCTCCTTTTCCAAGGGTCAGTCTTCTGTTTTCCTTCTTCAATTCTTTGTTCTAGGGAATCACCTTAGTGACTCCCTAGATGGTCAGAAACATCTTCATCAGATGACTAGCAACATCTACATTTTCCAGCTGCTGCATCCTTGCCTGGTGGGCTTCTCTTTTTTGTTTGTGTTGATTTTGGTTGTTGGAGACAGAGTCTTTCCACATAGTCCTAGCTGTCTGGAAACTCACTACATAGACCAGGCTGTCCTTGAACTTATGGGGATCTGCCTGCCTCTGCCTCTCAAGTGCTGGGACTAAAAGCTCGTGTCCCCACTTTCTTTCCTCTTAGGTCAAATTTAACCACAAAGCAGTCCTTAGAGAAGCCAAGACCAACTGCCGAAAGCAGAGTTTAACATAAAAAAAAAAAAAAACAAACAAACCACAAAACCAACCAACCAAACAACAACAACAACAAAAACGGTGGGAAAAGAATCTGAAAAACAAAGAAAATACCAGTAAATTGGCCTTTCTCCAGGCCATTTCTAAAGAACCATCCAAAGCGTAAGCATTATCTCATCATTCTCCTCATTAAAATCTCTTATGTTCACTACCTTTGGTCTCAGTCTAGGCTGGGTATGTGACTCTGCCCTTCCTATGGCTTCAATCCTCAGTTCTTATTTTAGCCTCCAGCCATTCTGGTTATTTCTTGATTTCTCTACTATGCTTTATTCTCTCATTGTTTGTTCTTGGACCCTATTTTTCTCTTCTTCTTCCTCTCCCTCCTCCCCGTCCTTCTTCTCTCCCTAAGCCCCTCCTCCTCCTTTTCCTGCATCTTGTTTGTGTGGTTAACTTCTAATCAACTTTCCAGAATCAAAGACTTGTCTCTGGAATCATTTCTTCATGAGTGTTTTCCTTTCTTACCTATTTCTATGGCTTAGTTACTCAATCTTGTCCTAACGGTTAATTGGACTGAGAACCCAGAGTTTCTCTCGAGAAGAGGGAACTATGTTCCAGCTCTTACACAGTTTGAAGCTCCATTCCTGACACATGAGTGACCACTCATAAGAATTTTTTCAAATGACTAAACAAAAAATAAATATTTGGAAAGAAGGAAACAAAGTATTTGCATAAATTAATACTCTTTGAAATATTAGAGCTTCAAAACTAAGATTAAGCATAAACCTTAAGCAATGTGCTTCTTGTCAGTTTTCTAGAAGATAAGAGAGGTAATGCTCTAGTATTAGCTTTAATACTTGGCAAATTGTGCTTCAAATTATTCAAACAAACTTTTCAAGCCACAGGTATCAGCTCATGCACTTCTGGTAAATTCATATTCCAATCATTTTCTTTATATTAAAAATCTAATCAGATCCAATAGTATAAAATGCTTTCTTACAAAACACACTTTTAGGAGAAAACTATTCAGCTATAAAATACTAGAAATTATTTTGTATGCTAATCAATATATTTTAATTTAGACCTTTTGTTACATGCTACAAGAATCCTCAATACCCCCTCACCCCCAAATTGCGTATTGATAAAACTCCCAAAAAGTGTCCTTTATCCAATCTCATTATGGAAAACAGGGTTTCTTTAAGGTTTCGTCAATGTTGGGCCACAGACCTTAAGATAAAACACACAACATTGTAAGCACTGTTCAACTGAAGAAAACACCTTCAGGAGAGGCGCTAGAATGTTGTCATTACCATTAGGCCTTGATGTTGGGGCCAGGAAAGCCAGGACCGAATACAAATCCCAGCATGGCTCGCTTCCATTGGGGACTACAACTCCCACAGAGCTCCGCTCGCCCTCACAGGGCGCCTGGTTGCCGGGACTTGTAGTTCTCAGGGGTGTTGTGGTCCCCGCCCCGGGATGTGAGGCGCGGTTGTCCAGCTTTTGCGGAAACACTTCGGGCCCCGGGGCCGGTGTGTATCTGTTTCACCCGTCAGCTTCTCCTCTCTAGAAGGTAAGTCTCGGAGGTGCCGCCCCTTTCCGCAGGACGGCCAGGACCCTGCTTCTGTGAGCGACAGCGTCTCGGCGCAGCCGTTTGTCCCTTGGCTCTCGCCGTAGCGGCCGCCGCCCATCCGTCTTTGTGTGCCTGGGACGCGGTGGATCTGCGGCGGCTACAGTGGGAGAGGGACGTTCCCGGAAAGTTGCCGGCCGGAGAAAGCCTTCTCCACCTGACAGGTGGGTCGGCCGCGGTTGGTTCAGGACTCTTCAGCCCGCGATGGCCGCGTCGGAGCTCGCAGGGCTGCCCGACCGATCGTGCTGACAGCGCCGGCACGGGTGACTCAGGGCGGCCTGGGGAGGCCACCGCGGCCCTTGGCAACCCTTCGGGACCCTCCGCGGACGGCCCGCGGCCTCGGGGCTTTGCCCCGTACCCCTCTGGCGGTCCCCGGATACACCCCGGCCCGGCCCGCGTCCTTTTGGCCTTAAGCCCAGGGAGAAAGTAATTCCTTAAGCTTTGCTTTTTTTTTTTTTTTTTTTTTTTTTTTTTAATTAAGGTCACTTTACTGCCTTGGATCGCACCTGGGGGAGGGGAGAGAGGTTGGAAGTCGCTGAACACTATTCTAGACACTTTCCTCTTCCCCAGAGTTTTAAGAAAATGGACCTGTCAGTCACGAAGCAGGCCTGAGGATGAAGGAGCTAGCTGATCCCCTGTGCTTAGCGGGACAGACTAGTTAGGGTTGACGGAAGTATTTCTTTAGGTAGGAGGTAGAATTGGTGTGCTTATTGACACTTGGCCTAAACAGAAAACAGTATGTCCAGCCTAGCAAACAAAGTAACGTGTATGGAAACTGTTCAACAGCCCGTACAGTATGAAGTTCTTTAGAGGCCAGGAAAGGGTGGGTGAAGAAATAGGGGCTCTCGCTTTTCGAGTTTGTTCAAATGACTTGGCTGGGAGTTATGTGTAAGTGTATGTTAAAGGGATTTCCCCGTCACCCGCTCACCACTTTTTGTCCACTGTCCTGTCAGTCTTTCTGGAATACTGTACCTAAAATTCCCCCTTTTCATATACAGTAGACAAATTTTGTCTTCCTACCAACTTGCCCTTAATCCACATTTATTAATTGTGTTCCAAAGAGATTCATTCTAAAATTTTGAAGAGGTTATTCGTCCAGTTTCTTTAATCTAAAATATTTAATCCTGAAATTGTAGGGAGACACTGACAGATTAAACCAGTAATGTCGTTTAGGTCACAAATTCTGGCTCCTACCTTAAGTTCAGCCGGTAGGTTACTTTCCCAGTTCAGAAAGATCCTAGCTCATCTCTTCTTTGTATCAGTCAAAATGAAGTCCTGTTCATGTTTGTATAATGCCATCTACTTTGCATGGGATCCATTTAGCCAGTATCAGTTTAATATTAAGGTTGCCATGCTGTGAGGGTACCAAGAATGGCAAAAACAGTCTCCAGACCCAATTAGGTGGCAGTCTAATATGGAAGGTTTCAGGTCCATTCACAGATAATCATATGAAAATGCCACAAGAAGGTGTTAGGATAGGTAAATATTGTTTGATTGATTGTTATGGAACTTCAAGAATTTTTAGGAGTTTCCCTTTATCCATCCAGTGTTTCTAGGAACAAATGTAGAAATCTCTGTTAATAGCTTTGGTTTCATAGCTGAAGACATAAACGTTCTTTAAAAGCCTGTCTTGCCATGTATGGCCCAAGCTGCCTGGAACTTAGAACCTTCCTGCCTGGTTTCTGGAGAGCTGGAATTACAAGTGTGAGCCACACTCGGCTAAGACTCAGCCTTAGTGCCAACAGGGTCTTTGGTTTTAAACACTAGTTATGGCTTTTATTATCTAGTGCTCAAATACCAAGTCATCAAAAAATGTTGGATCTGGGTGTGGACCGCCCCTGCAGTCCCAGCACACCAGAGTCTGAGGTAGAAGGATTGCCATGAGGACATCCTAGGCTACATCATGACTTCAAGGCCAGCCTGGCTACAGAGTCAGACATCGTTAAACTTGGTCTTCGTATCAAGAAAACATTTACTGTGTGCTGACTATTGTGCTCCATTCCTGGGTAATATTTTTCATACATTGTTTATAATTTTTCATATGTTTCAACAGTATGTGTATAGGTTTTTATTATTTTCAAAGTAGATATTGTGTGTTCTTGGGTGCCATTGAAATCTTAGCTTCTTGGTACATGTCTTGAAGTACTAATTTTTTTAAGCCTGTTGCCTTTTTCTTTTATAATCGATGTAATGATTATTTCAAATATTGATATGCTTTTTAAGGTCACAACCATGTCGGACAAAAGTGAATTAAAAGCTGAGTTGGAACGTAAGAAGCAGCGGTTAGCCCAAATCAGAGAAGAAAAGAAGAGAAAAGAAGAGGAAAGGAAAAAAAAGGAAGTATGTTTGAGTCACTAAAACAAACAAAACCCTTCAGTGTGAATAAGGACATTCTGTTTCAAGTAGTTAGGCCTTTCTGTAATAACTTAATAATAGTTGCAAATCCAACAGTTGCTATTGTCAATGTAGCGTTATCAGTGAATCTTACTTTAAAGCCAGGTATAGAAAAATGATGAAACTGGTACCGTATGATTTTTTTTTTTTTAATGGGCTAAAACTATTTCATATAATTTGATGCATTTCTGAGATTTGAGTTATGGAAATTGAATTTACTTATGTAGTCTTCTAGGGATTTCTTTTTTAATACAAAGTAAGGATCATCTTCATGATAGTATTTTATAGGATAGCATGCTATATAAAGCATTACAATGCAGGTGAATTTTTGAATTTATTATGGTAATAAGTTTATATATAAAACATTAGTTTACCATAATAAATTCATTATCCAGATATTTTGCTAATTTGCCAGAATATTACTGGCCAACTGAACTATATAAAACAATTTATTTGAGTAGAGGATATCCTTTACATTTGTCACGAGTTAGTCTTTGAGATATGTTTACTGAGCAGTGATTTGATAGTACCAACAAGTATTTTTACCTTTTGATTCTATTTATCACATACCGTAATATACAAATATTATAAATATACATCGACTCTGAACTGGACATTTTGTCCTTGGCCTTCACTGATATTTACACATTGGTCCCTGTGCAGCTCTTTGGGCAGATTTGTGTACTTGTATCACAGATGCTTTTCAAGTGGCCAGTATACCATAACCCGCCCCAAGTGTGCCTGTTGTACCAAGTTCACGTGTATAAATGCCTGCGTGATAGCCAGGGCTGCAAGACTATGAGACCTCTGTCGGTGGCTAGAGAAGAAGCTGTGGCAGGAAAACCGGAGTTGGTCACAGTGACTCCAAAGCCATGTGTTGCACTAAGATACTAAGAAGGACTGTAACTGAGCATTTTCCCCACCTTCCTGAACCTCTTTCCATGATACACAGAGAAGGGTGGAAGCTTTGCACTGGGGGTTTCACACAAAACTGGTGAAAGCGTGGTTCAGACTGGCGGATCAGTCCAACAGTACTTCCAGCCTTAACCTGTTCAAGCAACAGCGAGGGCACACTTGATTGTACTGGTGGCCATCAGTGGCCTTTGAGGGGTAATTACATGCTTGATTTTAACTAAAACCCTTAAAACATGACGAGATAATAAAGCAGTAAGTCTACTACATTGTACACAGAGCGGGTCAGCGTGTAACAGCATCTCTTTTGTTATATTTTGATGAAAACAAGTTAATATGACATAAAATACTTGGACTAACAAAAGTCACTCAATATATGAATATTAGTTGACAGGCTTGTCACTGAAAGCTTAAGCTTAAGGTTTTTTTTTTTTTTTTTTGGTAGTTGTTTTGATTTTCCCAGCAGGGTTTCTCTGTATAGACTTGGCTGTCCTGGACTCACTTTCTAGACCAGGCTGGCCTTAAACTCATAGAGATCCGCCTCTACCTCCCGAGTGCTGGGATTAAAGGCATATGCCACTGCTGTGCGGCCTTTACATAGTATTTTATATGCTCTAAGAATATTGAGATTTGGAGGTATAGCTAGAAGATTTTGCTAAAATTATATATAAATGGCTACAATAAAAGTTGGCAAAATTTTTCCTAACAAAAATGTTTCATGTTATTAAAAAAATTATTTTTTATTTTAACCAGTTCCAGCTATGTGTTTTTGTTACTAAAATAAGACCTGAAAGCTGGCTTTAGTGGCACTTGTCTGCAGCGCTAGACTTGAGAGGTTAAGGTAGGAAGCTCTCTCAAGTCCATAGTGTTGAGGCCAGCACAGGTAACAGGAAACAAAACAAAACAAAACAAAACGGATAAAATAATGATAACTTCTATAACTAAAAAATAATTTTTTTCTAGAAAAATTTTTAAAAATTACATGTGTGCATGCCTGTGTGTATGTGTGCCTGTGTGTGTGTGTGTGTGTGCCTGTGTGGGTGTGTGCATGCGTGCATGAGCACATGAGCACATGAGCACAGGTGCCCACGGAGTTGTCAAGAAGACTGTTGGGTTTCCTGGAATTAAAGCTGGTTGTGAGTTGCCAGAATGGGTGGTGGGAACTGAACAACAGCAGTGTGCACTCTCAGCCACTGAGCCCTATCTTGAGTCTCTCTGGAAGAGTTTTTGATAAGTGTTTTTTGTATAAGTTCACTGGAAATTTTATGTAGAACCTTAAAAATGGGGGTTTTCCAACAAATTTGTTTATTCTCTTTTTATTATTTATCTATCTATCTATCTATCTATCTATCTATCTATCTATTTATTTATTTATTTATTTATTTATTTATTTATTTATTTATTTATTTATTTATTATGTATACAGTGTTTTGGCTGCTTGTATGCCTGCAGGCCAGAAGAGGGCACCAGATCTCATTATAGATGGTTTATGACCCCACCATGTGGTTGCTGGGAATTGAACTTGGGACCTCTGGAAGTGCTCTTAACCTCAGAGCCGTCTCTCCATCTCTACTTAATTCTTATACCTTAAATTCCTTTCATTTCCCCCTTCTGTCATAACTTATATCAAAGCTTTTTTACCACTAGATTTGGAGACTGCCATGATTCCTGTCCATTGTCACCAATTCATACTATAGAGAATTGGAAGTTGACTGCTTTGTAAAGATGTATTTATCTTTAAAAAGCTATTTATGTATTTTAAGACAGATTCTTGCCATGTAGCCTTGGCTGACCAGGAACTTACCATGTAGACCAGGCTGTCCTTGAACTCCTGAGGAAATACTCCGGCTACTGAACTCTTACATGAACTACCATTCCTGAATTTTTTTGAAAATATATTTGTAGAGATGCCTACAAATTATTCATATATAAACATGAATTCAGTGAGAATGGTTTGTAAAAGGAACTTTGTATTAAAAACTAATTTCATCCTAAAAGTTTACAGTTTTCACTTTATTTAAAAAATAATTTTACATGGGGCTGAAGAGACACCTCCACAGTTAATTGTGCAGGCTGCTCTTCCAGAGGACCAGGCCTGACTCAGCACCCACGTGGCATGGTGGCTCCGGTTCTGGGGATCTGACTTCCTCTCTTGGCCTCCATGCACATACATACGTGCAAGTAAGACACCGTGCATATAAAGTAAAATAAAAATAAAGCTTTTTAAATAAATAAAAATGTTTTTAAAAGTAGAAGTGTTTCATATTATATATAAACTTGAGTTTTTGACTTAACATTTTAGACTGATCAGAAGAAGGAAGCTGCTATTTCTGTGCAGGAAGAATCTGATCTTGAAAAAAAAAGAAGAGAAGCCGAAGCGTTGCTTCAAAGCATGGGGCTAACTACAGATTCCCCTATCGGTAAGGATCTGAATATATCTACTTATGGGAGACAGTCATATATTCTGTTGAGCTCATGCATATCTGAGCTTGATGCATTGATATCTTTTGCATATTTTCTTTGTCTCAAAGCATTACTCTTTTCATTTACTCGAAATTCCTTTTTTTCTCAGATGTATCAGTACACAGTTATTTTATTTGTCTAGGAAACCAATATTAATACCTATTCACATATACCAAGCTACCTATTGAAATACTTATCTAAATCAGCAATTCACTATGCACCATACTGTGATAAAATATAAAGATGGGTATTTCTGAATCTTGATTGTGTATTCCTTTGTGTAGGCTAGGGCAAGGTAAGGTAAGTCAAAGTTACATCACTAGTACTCAAAAGCCAAGGAGCAGAAAGAGAAGTTTATAGTACCAGAAAGAGACAGAATACTGGTTGCTTCTTCTGGCAGTAATTTTACCTGGTCTTGTTCTTTTTCCTAGGTTATTCATTTTGCTAGTTATGATAGACCAGTAGAATGTGTAGATAGAAGAGATACTGAGAACAATTTAGTTACACATCAGAAAGCATTTAATCTTATTTAAGTTATATAATTCTGTGTTAGGTGCTGCTACAGAGAATGTATTTTAGTGTGGCATTTTATCCGTTAGGGACCTGGCACTTCAAGGTTAGCTTTTGAGTTAATGTCTTTGTGTGTTTGTGTGTGTGATGTGTGTTTGTGTGTTTGTGTTTGCCTGTGCATGTAGAAACCAGAAGATAGACTTGGGTACTGTTCGGTGGGTGCTCCCTGCCTCCCTGACCTAGGGCTCGCAGAGTAGACTAGGCTGCTGCCCAGCAAGTCAAGGACACACCAGTCTGCATCTCCCTGGCTGGGCTTACAAGGGACACTGCCACAGCGGGTTCTGGGGCTAGAACTCAGGTTTTCACATGCGTGTAACAAATACTTTAACAACAGAACTGTCTTCTTAGCCATGTCTTCACGTTGTTGGTTTTTTTTTTTTTTGTGTGGGGTTTTGGTTTTCTTCTATGATTTTTTTCTTCTTTGTCCCCAGTCTGCCTTTGGACTTCCACTTCAGTGAACTTACTTGCTCATATGTTTTAACTCATAGCCCACCTCTGTTGATTCTCGGAAGATCTCTCTTTAGAGATGCCCTTTCTTTCCATCTTCTCCTTATCAGACATTATGTAACCACTCTTGAATTTTTAGATATGTAAGTTTTAGAATATATGGGTTTTAAAATTTTAGACTATATAGGTCTGTCTTCTGAGTGCTTATATTTCTAGTATTTTTCCTGTCCATGTGTGAACACTCTTAACATTGATGACAGTATTGTCTAATTGTTTATCCATGTTGCTGCCTACGTACCTGGCTGGTTATTGAATTGTATTCCATTATATTTTATTGCTCCAGACCCTTGCTACTATGCACTTAGGTTGCTTTTGTCTGCGTTAATAAGCAACACTGCAAAGAGTAATTCCCTCCCTTTGGAGAATAGACGCTTCTCTGGAGGGTTATGTCCTGGAATCGACTTTGCTGTGATGTTTTGTGTAGGCTTTACTTAGGTTCAGCTTTTCAGTCTCAAGAGTGGTGTCCAAATTACTACTGAATATTATCCTACTTTCTACCTTTTGCCGACTTGATGGGCATTTCTGTTGCTGTGATCAGCTATCATGGCAAAAGGCAGCTTCGGGAAGGAGTTTATTGTAGATAACAATTTCAGACTACAGGCTGTCAAAGGGAAGTCAAGGTGGCAAGAACTCAAGAGAGCCAGTCACATTGCATGCACAGTCTAGAGCAGAGCAGCGTGAACACACACCTGCCGCTCATTTGCTTGCTTGTGCCCCACTCAGTTTTTCTGCTTTTATACAGTTCTGAGGCCCCTGCCTAGCAAGTGGTGTCATGCACGTCAGCTAACTTCATAAAGACGACCCCAAAACATGCCCACAGACCAATCCAGTGTAGACAGTACCCATTAAGACTCTTCCCAGGCGACTCTTGGTTCGGCCAAGATGACAATTAAAGCTAACCATCACATGTGGGAGGCCCCAAATGCCTTTCTTAATACATACTTTCCCGATTATGGCGAAGTAGCTGCCTCTTCTGTAGCTGTCAGTCATTCAGTTTTTCTCCTCTGGGATTTACACATGTGTGTTATTTTATCGTTTATTATTATTTATTATTATTATTGTTTATTATTTATTATTATTTTATCTTTTGATTTGTAGACTTTGCATATTTTAAGACTTTCATCTGGGATGGTCTTTAAAAAAACAACAAACGCTTACGTGTTGAATCTACTCTTAATCTTTACTGAAGAGAGCCCTCATGTAGTCTTTTCTGTAGTCACATCTACTAGTTACCTTCTTGCTGTGTAGCCATGCCTGGTGCTTGCTATGTAGACCTGGCCATGCAGTGTCTGTAGACTTTCAGTGTGCATAGATGGAATATGCACTTTCAGTGTCCATAGAAGAAATGTGAGCCAAGACAGGAACACTGAAAGAGTTAAAGCACATCTTAAAATGTCAGCATTTTGTGTCCATGTGGCACATGCGTGTGTAGACTGAGCCTTAGCAGGACAGAGATCATTCCCTTGCTGTCTTTCCTTTTATTAGATTCCTTAAACCTTAACACTCTTGGGGAGGGGCCAGGCATACATCCCAGATGGAAACTTTGTGAAGTCAGTTCTTCCCTTCCACCTTTCCATGGGCTCTGGGGATGGTGCTCAGGCCTCCAGCTTGCACAACACTCATCTGCACAGGCCACCCTGTCTTGCTAGTTGTTCTTCATGCCATTGTTTCGTTCTCAGTGTAGACATGAGAGAATAGGGGAGAATGAAAGGAAAAAGAATAGTGCTAGTCTGCAAACGGTTAGTATAATGTTTTTGCTAAATTAAACTATGGAAAGACAGTGTAAAGAGCTATGCTTTTTTTTTCTTTCCAATGAAAATGAATTTCATGAATGTGAGTGGTTACTGAAAGATATTTATTTTCTTTACATGTACGAGTGTTTTACGTGCATGTATGTATATGCACCCTGTGCATGCCTGTTGTCTGTAGAGCTCAGAAAAGGGTGTCAGCCACCATGTTGGCTCTGGGAACCAAACTGGAATCTTCCGTGGCCTAGTTAGAGTTAACATTGCTGTGATGAAACAGCATGACCAGAGCAACATGGGGAAGAAAGGGTTTATTAAAGCTTTGTGCTCCCACGTCACTGTTCAATTGAAGGAAGTCAGGACAGGGACTCAAACACGGCAGGAACCTGGAGACAAGAGCTGTGCAGAGGCATGGAGGGTGCTGACTACCAGGCTTGCTCACCCTGTTTTTTCTTATAGAACCCAGGCCCACCAGCCCACAGGTGGCACCACCGTTATGGGATGGGCCTTTCTCCATCAATCACTAATTAAGAAAATGCCCTACAAGCCTGCCTGCCTCTGATCTTATGGACAGATTTTCTCAGTTGAGGCTTCCTCCTCTCAGATAATTTTAGCTGCTGTCAAGTTGACATAAAACTAGCCAGCACATTCTGTTGGAGCATAAAGAGCCCATGAGATTGTGTTTACCAAAAGAGTGTAAGCTGATTAACATAGAATTAATATCTTTAAATAGCTGCTGTGGCCTGGACTGTGTTGAAGAATTTAGCGTCTCCATTTCCTAGTCAGATCACTACATGCTTTTCTTTTCTTATATCTAAACGATTTTCCTTCTTTTAGCTAACATAACATAATGAAACCAGTAAAGGGCCAAAAACATTTTGGTGATCTTGTTGCCTTTAAAAAATTAGGCAAAGGTGGAGCTGGGGTGGGAGGACAGGAGAGATGACTCAGCATCTAACTCCAGCAGAAGACTTAGTTTCTAGCACCCATATAGGTAGATTGCAACTCCCTGTAATCCCAGCTCAAGGGCATTTGATGCCCTCTCTGGCCTCTCAGGTACCTGCATTCATGTGCAAATACTGACACATAAACATACACATGAATAAATGTAAAGCCTAAATTAGGTAGCCGGGCATGTGACACATGCTGGTAATCTCAGCACTAAGGGAGGCAGAGGCAGGCAGATCTTTTTGAGTTCTTTTGAGGCCAGCCTAATCTACAAAGTGAGTCCAGATAACCAAGGTAAGAACAAACAATTAGGGAAAATGCATTTCATAATCCTTAAAACATACACTTTTAAACTCAGTATTAATGTCTAGTGCTTACTTATAATTTATCATGAAGAGTACAAAATACAGATAAACTTGTTATTTTCAGTAATCCACAATTAAAGCAAAAAACAATAAACAAAACAAAAATCCTGGGGCTGGAGCGATGACTCAGCAGTTAAGAACACTTATTACTTTTGCAGAGGACTCATGCTCAGTTCCCAGCACCCACATGGTGGCTCACAACTATTTGTAACTCCAGTTCCAGAGGATCTGACTATCTCTTCTGACCTCTGAGGGCACCAGGCAAATATGAGATATAGGGAAAATACTCATGAACATTAAAATAAATAACTTTTCAGTTTATATCATGACTTATATGGATACTTTTTTTCTTGTTACTCTAAGAATTTCTTGAATAATAATTACTATTTTTAGGTAGATTTATTTATTTATTTATTTATTTATTTATTTATTTATTTTGCATATGAGTGTGCTCTGTCTGTAGATCACTTGCATGACAGAAGAAGGCATCAGATTCCAGTGTAGATGGTTGTGAGCCACCATGTGATTGCTGGAAATTGAACTCAGAACCTCTGGAAGAGCAGACAGTGCTCTTAACCTCTGAGCCATCTCTCCAGCCTGAATAATTATTAAATATATTTCAAGTTTAAAAATTTTAAATTATTCTTTAAAACTCTTTAATATGACTTTTTCTTCTTTTTTTTCTTTTTTTTTTTTTAATTCAACTAAATGGATTTTTTTTTCTTTTGATATGGGGTCTGATTATATATATAGTATTGCCTGGACCTGAACACACAGAGATTTGCCTGCCTCTGCCTCCCAAGTGCTGGGATTAAATGTGCACACCACCATCTTTGACTAATTCTTCTTCTTTTTTTTAATGTCACTAAATAAAACAGCTCAACATATTTGCTGGAAGATTGTTGCTTAGTTTGCCAGTTGATTGTTTTTTGTTGATATTCTTGTTTGAGATTTATGTGTTGTTTATCTATAGTTGTGGTTTGTGTGCATACATGTCTGAATACCCAAAGAGGGCGTTGGGTTCACTATAGAAGGTTACGAGCTACCCTGTGGTTGTGGGAATTGAACTCAGAACCTCTGAAAGAGCATCCAGTGCTGTTCACCTCTGAGCCATTGCTCCAGCCCCCTTTGTCTGATATTCTTTTTTTTTTTTTTTAAATAAGGGAAGAAAAGATTTATTATTATTTATACAGTGTTCTGCCTTTTTGCTAGAAGAGGGCACAAGATCTCATTATAGATGGTTGTGAGCCACCATATGGTTGCTGGGAATTGAACTCAGGACCTTTGGAAGAACAGCCAGTGCTCTTAACCTTTGAGCCATCTCTCCAGCCCCTGCCTAATATTCTTGAGAACAGAATCTCACATTTTTATCCTTGGTGCCAGCACAAGGCACCAAGACTTTAAATGTTTGTTCAGTTTTTATTAGATCATGTCTTTCTATTTGGAAAGGCCAAGCAAAAGACACCCTTCTTTGAGACATTGTATGCAAATACATAGCAGAATTGAAATCTGGATATTTTTTTAAATAAATATTTTAACTTTTAAGTGACCATAACTAATAGCTAAGTTTAAACACAGCATTGCTAGTTAAGTATTGTTTTACTGTTTTTCCCGTCTGGATTTTCTTGTAAGTTTTGGATATTTTAAGTCAGATTTTTAGAGGGAACTGTCCATGTTGCCAGGTCATTTTTTCAAGTGTAGCTTAATTGCAAAAAAACATTTCATGAGAAGGAATGTTGTTTCTTTATGATCTTTTAATACTGCAAAATTGTTTTATCTTCATTTAAAAATTTAATGTTCTAATTATATTGCAGAGAATATTCTTAACAGTAATATTCATTATCAGAAGAGAGGCGTTGTAAGTGGAGAAATTAGTATTTAAAGGGTTACTATTTAAAGCGCAGACAGCGCAGGTGCTGAGCCCAGGCTGGGAGCACCTGTGTTCACAAGGTGCGTGTTGTGTGAGTACTGTATGTTGATGTGCCAGCTCAGGGACCGCACGACTTTGATTGTCCCAGAAGCTGCCTCTGTCCACTCACTGTCTTATGATGCCAACATTCTCAACCTCTGCGTTCACTTTCCATGGCTGTCTACCTTTTCTGTGCCCTCTTCGTGGCAAAATCTCTTTCCCAGAGACTTTATTCTACCACACACCTTCACCTGTGTGGCTTCTGTGAGTAGCTGATCAGATTTAATCTTAATTTTAAATCTAAGTGCATTTTCAGGATCTTTATAGTTAAAAATACTCTAGTTATTTCTTCATTGGCCAAAGGCTGTAATGTTAATTTTATATACTTGGAAAGCCAAGTTCTTAGCTGGTGGGTAAAGCCTTCTTGACAAAGCGTTTTATCCTAGAGAATGAAACAGCTGCTCTTTTCAGTATTCTTTATGTGATCAGTGAGGGCTGTGGTGTAGTTGTTTTGTTTTCAGTTCATATTTCTCCCTTGGTTCTCAAAAAAAGGAACAAGTGCTGTCTTTGCCACGAACTTCTGAGAGGCCTAAATCCGTTAAGTGTATTCATGTGTTACATCAGTGTAAAGTCTGTTTGAGACTATTTTATAAACAACTTGAAATAAAGGCAGTCTGATCAAATCACTCTCTTGTTAAGCAGATCATATTTTAAGTACTTGACAAAAGCTACATATTAATGCTTATGTTACTTTCAAAGCCAGTTATGTTTACAAGCTGTCCTTTAAAAGGAATTCCTGAAGTGAGTCTCTTCTAAAACTTGGTAGCTCATGAGTTCAAGGTCTTTCTCCTTCTTGAATGCATGCTTTCTTTAACTGCAGAAGTTTGTTGAAGGCGGAGAGTAGGAGTATTGCCTCATTGCATAATTACTATATTCCTTTTTTTCTGAAGCTAATTGAGTTACTATTTGGTAGTCAATTAATGTTATCATTCCCTTGTTTTCTGTTAGCACCAGCCTTTGATAATAATGGTGATTTGAACTCTCCAGGTTGTCTCTTTGAGTCCATTATTTACTATTACAAGATGAAGTTAGCTAGATAATAGCTAAGACTTTTTGTTTGTTTTTGTTTGTTTTGTTTGTTTAAAGACAGGGTTTTTCTGTGTAACCCTGGCTGTCCTGGACTCACTTTGTAGACCAGGCTGGCTTCAAGCTCACAGAGATCCACCTGCCTGTGCCTCCTGTAGTGCTGGGATCACAGGTGTGTGCCACTGCACCCTGTAAGACTTTTTAAAAAATGTGTTTTCTATCACTTGGCTTTAGACTGCTAATGAGCACAGAATATAGTTTGGGGATATTTGGGATCGAGATTTTTTTTTTTTTTTTTAATTTAATTGCACATTTAAAGTCATAGTGATATTTCTCCTGGCTGGTCACCATGAGAATTTGAGTAGGCTTGTCATTCTTGATTTATTATTTTTTTCTAAACATCTATTTCAGAACTAGGTTAATATATCTATTTATGTACATGTAATTACTATTTAACCTATTTCTAAAGAACTTTGCTGACATTTGTAATGCAGTCTTAACAAAGTGAGTTACTTTTGAACTTATTGAATAGAATCACCGATACTTGAAATCATCTGGAAGAGGAAAAGTGGAAAATATTTCTGATGCTTTCCAACAGATAACCGGTTTAATAATTACTTTAGTATTTTCCACAGTCTCTCTAATATCTATCTGTAAGGAAATTAGTTTCTCAGTTATGAGTTTTATATATATACAATTTAAAGAACATAGACTATATACTTCGATTTAATAAACGTGTATTTGTGTTTACAGCACAGTAGACAAGCAAGCTGTTACACAGTGCCATTCCTGTGTGCAGCTGGAGTTTGGACTAGCAGAAGCCTTACAGTGAGAGGAGCAAAAAGATAAGGAAGTGGAGCTAAGAGAAGCTAAAGGATTATGACATTGCTATTTTACCTTAGATACATTAATTTTTAGCCATATTGAATTATGCATGCAGCACCTAACAGTGTCAGTCATAAGTGAACTCTATGAAGTTTCCTGTGGTTGCATAATTGTTTCTGTTACATTTAATCATAATATTAGAAACATTGGTTTTGTTTTTAATACTGTTTGAAATACAAGCAAGAATTAACCTCTGGTAGCTCAGAAAACAAACATTCTAGCTATGGCTTTTTCCTTCGTATGTTACTGATTATATAACTAGGAATTTGCCTTCTGTTTAGACTATTAAGTAAAGTCAGCGCAACAGGAAATGTGTTAGTCAATAATGTTGTACACTCAAAGATTATTTAAAAAGATACTTGGGATTGGGGACATTTGTGGTAAAAATTTAACCAGAAGATGGCAGTGATGAGCCTCTTATGATTCCTGCTACGGTAATCAAAAAGTTTTCCAAATGTCCTAGCATGAAATGTGCACGCTTAACTGCTGTTACAAGTGTTGAGACACTGGAGAAAAAAGTTGCTGATGTTCTATATACTGTGAAGAATGTATGCTTTTCTCTAAGAAGGGATTAAGACTATTTTGGGTGTCTGTATCTTTGTCTTACATTTAGTTTTTTCTGAGTTCTGGGGTAAGGAAGTTCCCATACATCTTGATGTGTGTAGTTTGCATGTGTCTCTTTATGTTTCGCCCCACGTCCAGAAGGCATGCTGTTTCATGGCCTGTTTGCATTTTCCACCCAAACTGCTGGAAACTAATGAACATTTTAAAGGAGCCATTCCTTTAGCTGTATCATTTCTCTAAACTGCTTCTTTTCAGTGGGGAGAAATGTATTCATCCTAAATACTAATTTTCTGAGGCACCAGGGATCAAATCCAGGACCTTGCACATGCTGGGCAGGCCCTGAGCTACTTCTTGAGACCTAAAAGTATTTGAAAGAAAAAAATATTAGGCAATGGTTTAACATTTTCAAACAAATCTTGAAGACCAGATTGAAGCATATTTCAAAGTTTTAATTTTGGCATTATACTCAGTTAACACATAAAAATGATGGTCTTATAAGAGTAACATTGGAAAGGGGAGAAGGAATGTTCTCCTTTGAAATTTGTGGCCGCTTTGGTGGTGCACAAGAAGCTACATTTTCCTGTAGTCTTAGCTCTGCCTGAACGCATCTTGCCAGAGAAGTTGCACAAGTCGTCAGCATGGTTGTTAACCTTGTCTTTTCTCCTCTCTTCCTACTGTTCATTTTCACCCCTGTGTTTCTGTTCCTGGTTTGTCATCATTTTTCCCTTTTTGTTTATTACTTCATGTTAAATTATTTTGAAACACCGTAAGCTGGGCAAGCTCTGCAGGTAGTAACAGCGGATACCTGTCTATTTCCCTATTTAGTCCCTCCTCCCATGTCCCCATCCTCCAAGTCGGTGAGCACGCCAAGTGAAGCTGGAAGCCAAGATTCCGGGGATGGCGCCGTAGGATCCAGGTATGTAATTCTTCCTTAATATTTTAATGATAGAATAGAATGCATTCAGTGCCAAATGCTGTCAGTGCTTTAGAGGGAGCCTAAGTGTTTATGTTGACTTAATACTCCCAGCCTAGAAATTCTCTGTTGGAAATTGGGATAAATTTTTTACAACAGTGTTTTAGCTGTCACATGTAAGTAGTAAATAGTTAAGTGGTTCTATGATAATTTATATTAAACAGGAGGTGTTTGTGAATTTAAATTTGTTCTGCTTAAACAAATGTACTGGTTACTATGTGAATGTTCTGACTGAATAATGTAAAACATCTTTGTTGTGCTTAATTCCCCACTTGGTAGTTGGACATTGAAACAACTCAATTAAGCAGCCTAGTTCTGTTAAGTAGCTGATTCTGCTAAATAAGATTAAAAAAAAAGTAATCATAGCACAAAATATCAGACTTGGAAAGATGGCCTCTTGCAGAGGACTTGGTGCAGTTCCCAGCACCCATGCCTGCCAGCCCACAGGCTTTTGTGCCATAGTTCCAGGGCATCTGACTCCCGACCTCTGCAGGCACTGCACAGACACTGCGCACTTCTTACAGACAAGCACGGGGCACACACATGGACATAATTAAAATAAAACTGAGCTCAGGAAAATGTCTTAGCATCATCTTCAAGGCTGGGTATAGCTCAGTGACAAGGACTTAGCTACCATGTGCAAAGCCCTAGCTGTCGGTCCCCAGCACCACAAGAAAAAGAAAAGTTATTAAAACTTCTCAGTTTTATTTTTCCTCTCTGCATGTGTGTGGATGTGCCCTTTTGATTAAAGATAAAAATGGACAATAAAGTCTGATAGAGAAAACAAACAAACAAACCCTGCAAATAAAATGGGTTAGGTGGTCCAAAAAATCAGCACTATATTCAGTTCCAAAATATTAAGTTATTGTTAACAATTAAAAGGTACGAAAATAGGCTGGAGAGATGGCTCAACAGTTAGGAGCACATATTGTTCTTGCACAGGATCTAGAGTCGATTCTCCCAACCCTCTAACTTCAGTTCCAGAGAATCTGATGCCTTTTTCTGACCTTGCTGGTATCAGGCACATATGTGCTGCATAGATATCCATGCAAGCTAGCACTCGTATACATAAAAATAAAATCTAAAAATAAAGGTACAGGAAGCTTGAATCTGAGATGTGCTTTCCAAAAGATCTTTCACTACTATTGTTGCAGATAATTGGTAAGTCCTATTTAAGAAAAAATAAAATAAAGCTTTCTTTTGAAAAGTACTATTACTTCATAAAATATATATTATAAAGACAATTTAATCTAAATTAAATTTTAGGACTAGAGTTACTTAGTTTATGCTTCCATGCTTTTTGTGTGTGTGTTTTTTTTTAAAGACAGGGTCTCACCGGTTATCTCTGGGTGGCTTGCAACTTGCTCTGTAGACCAGGCTGGCCTCAAACTCTGTTTCCCCAGTTGCTAGGCTAGAAGGTGTGTGCCACCATGCCTGACACTTCTACATTCTTTTATGCATATGTCAACATCCCTTTAAATATTTAATATTTAGAGATTTTCAAGTGAAAGGATTTTTTTCTCTTCTATAACCAACATTAAAACAGTGAAAGTATTTCTCAACATAAGTTACTATATTTACTAAATTTTTTTAGTATTGCGTATTATCTTTATTTAAATGATCTATACTTTATGAGCTCATTGTTCCTCATTTCAAATAGGAATAGAGAGATTATTTTAAAGCATTGTCAGCGAGTTTGTTTTTAAAAGTACTATGTAACATTTACTTAATTTTTAAAGTTAATATGAGTTTAAAAGTGTTGTTCTCCATGAGTAACATAGAAACTACTTGAAATGCTTTGGAGTATTGTAAAATGGTATAGGAAGTAAGTACTGGGTAGAAAACTGTGTGTACAACAGCCAGATATGCATCAAATTGCCAGCTTTGTCCTAAATACTGTGGATTATCACATAAAATACACTCTCTGCTTTCACAGAATGCCATTCTAGTGATTGTATCATTAGCTTAAAGATGCTTTTTCAAAATGTTCAAAGGAGATAGCATCTTATGCTTACTGTAAAGTGTATTTTATGACTTACTGCAAAATAAGAAAACAAGTAACTTGATAATTTAAAAAGTATTTATTCTTATTAGAGAAAGTAAACAGTTTTTATCTAAGTGTAACAGGAAAGAAAGAACTTTTAAGTTTTAATTCAGAGTGTACTGTGAAAACACTGAGTCACCTGGAAATAACTTTCAAGAGGACTAAGTTTGTCATTTTACACAAACAAATAGAAACCTGAATTTTGATTAGTCATCTCCAACTTCCATAATGGGAAGAAAATTTGTCGATGCTTGAAACAGTAGTAAAATAATGCATTTCTAAATACATGGCATTTAAATAGACTACTCAGATCTGAAAATGAAATGAAATGAGCTCATACTGAGCAGAAGTGAAAATGGAAGCCTGAGAGCAAATGTCACAGGAAATGAAGATGTGCAGGATGGACCTGGGCACTAAGATTAGGCCACACAAAGAACAGGAAAAAGACATTGTAAGACAGGATGATGTCAGATAACTCTTTAAATAATAAACATTTCTGTTTGGACTACTGATAATTTATAAATAAGTGTAAAAAGATGAGCTATTCAATTTTGCCTGTTGGATGTTGCATTTCATTGTTTCTGTTTACTTTCTTAATCCCTTCTAAAATTTAAGTGATAGTTATTCATTTAGGTAATCCATGCTTATTCATTCCTTTTTTTTCTATTTTTGATTAGTTTATTTCTAAGAATTAGGATTGTACTTTATATGTCTAAAGAACCTTTTAATATATAGAACCACATACTTTGAATGATGTATTTTTTAGTACTGGCCATGCTCTTAAATGAAATTTTGCTCAATTTTAGACTAAACTGACATCCTCAACAAGGAGGTTTATGTTATTGGTCAGCTAGAGCCCTTGTATAATGTAGAGGCTGTTGACAGAACATTCCTTGGAGACCATCTCATCAAACTGCTTTGGTTTAACAAAGCCTAAGTTTGTTGCTGTTCATTGCTCAAAACAAAGTAGGTCTTCACTGTCTCTTCTTCATTGTATACATTCAACGCTGGTTAAATCCCAACATCTTTCCTCATAAGCGGGAGAGTTCTCTTATTTTGTCTAATCAGGGAAGCTGAGAAATCATTTATTGTGTTCAAAATTATAGAACTAAAACTAGTTGTGCATTCTATAACTTGAGAAGCAAAAATGTTCCACAAAATGCTATTAGTGAATGTAGAACTGCACTTAGCCTTTTGTGTGGAACTATGAACAGTATTGCTGACTTCCAAGAATGCCTGTTCTGATGACGACTAGATTTAGCTTAGGTGGAAAAGATCGTATATAAGATATTTACCCATTAGACAATGATAAAACATTACTGTTTATTTAGGATTGAGATTCTCTAAAAGTTAGGTAAATTCTTTTGAAAGGGATTTTTTTTTTTTTTTTTTCCTAGAAACAGAAGTCTTTAACTTTTTTCAAAGCAGTGATATGTAAGCCCAAGGCAGTGCTTAACCCATGAATTACAGCAAGGTCACATTTTGGAAACGTTAGCTATTTTGTATCCCAGTGGGACAGTCTTGGTTTTCTTACCAAAAGGCTTATGCGTTGACTCATTTCCTTTACCAGTATGGCAATTTCCTGCAGCCATTTAAAGCTTTGGGCAAGATTAGAATATCTTAACTGTCTTCACTAATCTTCTTTTTCATTAGGAATCTTAAAACTTTTAACTCTTTCATTGCATATTTTGTTTACCATTCATAAACAATGTATATTTGGTTTGTATGCTTTAGCTATTTGTGTTCCATTTTGTGCAATACTGGTTTGCCACATTCTGCAGATACCCTGAATTATTCTGGGCTATATTCCTGCATCTTTAACCACCTAGATGCTTGTTTTGTGCACTAGAGCTTTGGAGTTAGACCTAGTGTGTGGGTTTCGTTTTAGTCTTACTAACCAGCACTTGGAGGTCTTCATTGTAAATAGTACTTTAGTGTTGGCTGTTTATAAAATGCATTTGCTTGACTAACTTCTGACCTTTTTTACTAATGCTTCGTGGTTGTCCTACAACCGTTTAGGACGCTGCACTGGGATACAGATCCATCAGTTCTTCAGCTTCACTCAGATTCCGACTTGGGGTATTGCGTAGATTTCTTACCTTCCCTCTTTAATAGTTAATTTGCTTCTTTGTGAAACTGTCCTAATTTTACTTTGCTCAAGTTTCTAATATTGTGTCTAGTTAAGACAAGAGTTATGTTTTACTCTGACACCTCATTTATCCTTTTATAATTAGTGAAGGAAATAGTCTTCATAGGTAATTTTCTAGGTACTGTAAGTTTGCCCACTTAAATGGCAAAATTCTTTGTTATTTCTCTTTTTCTAAGATGTACTAAAAACTTTCCAGATTTAAAAAAATATATATATATATTTACTATTTTAATTGAATCTTTTCTGAGTTATTTGATATGAAAATTAACTTTTCTAAAATAAAATTAATTATTGAGTCTGAAGTCATGAAAGAAACAAGATTTCGTAGTCTCTATACTATGGCTCTGAATTTCTGTTTACGTAGCGTATCACTCACTCATTCATTCTAGGATCCACTACACAAGTATTTGCTATAGTCATTGTACATGACAAAGATAGCTCTTTCCCCTCGGTAATCTGTAGTCATATGCTTGAGCGTCTGAAACATGAATAAAAAAACCTCATATTACATATAGGAAAAATCTGAGGGTCTTGTACGTTAGCCAGAAGACCTCTCTCTGGCTGCACCAACCCTTCCCCCTGCCCCATTGGTTCCTTGTTTTCAGTAAGTGTAGCTTTTGGAGAAGCGAGGCATTACCTCTTCTCCTCTAAAATCTTTGAATTTAAAAAAGATGTGTTCTCTTTCACTGTTAGGTTTATTGTGCTTCCAGGTTAGTAATCTGTTGCTAGTACTGTTAGCCTGCCCTCTCTTTTTTTTCTCGGTAAGTGAGTGATTCATTTAATGGTCTGCAGCTTAAAAATCAAGAATATGAAGTTCTTATTTCAAACTTTATTCTTAGACTACTCTAGATTGCTTCAAGTATCCTTAAATTTTACCATTTAATTATTTGATACTTTCCCCCCTAAGGCTAAGCTATTCCTGAAGTAGCAAATCATTAAAATGTTCAGTGGCTCTCATGTAGTGCCTTAGAGCAAGATGGTTTGCGTTGTGTTTTTTAATGTTTTTCTTCTTTTGAGATGGTGTCTTGTGTAGCCCAGGCTGGCCTCAAACTACTGAATCCTATGACCCCAAGTACTGGGATTACAGATGTGCGCCGCTGTGTCTGGCTCACAATTTTTTCAGTGTTAATTTTATTCCATTTTTTTTTTTTTCATAAAGAACCTAATATAGTTGTTAGATAAAATGGAAAATGTTTGTGTGTATTAACAGTGACATATTAAAGAGTGTTTCTGAAACCTGAGACATTTATTGCAGACAGAAGGGAAGTTGCAACAGTGTCACCATCTCAAGAGGGCTTATGATTGATGACTTTGGCAGCTGGAAAGCATACTTTAGTTTATAGTTCAAATACCTAATAACCAAGTCAAAATTCCTGAATAGCTAGTAAGAGGTATTTTTCTTTTGGTCTGTATTTCAACTCTCCTGTTATTCCCTCGATTTACTGAATCAGAAGTAACTTCTGTAGTTTCATTATAGTCAAGAAACCTGTCAGTTTAGTATTAAACTTTAAACTTTAGTTTAAGTATTAAACAAACTTTAGTTTGTTCAGTGAACCACAGACAATATTAACCATGTAGAGATTGAAAAAAAATAAATAATTTATTTTAAAATCCATACTAATGTGATTCTAAGAACTACCAAGTGTAGAAATAGGAGAAGGCTTTCGGGGCTGTCGAGATGACACTCAGCATGCCTAGCCCTCAGTTTGAGCCCTGGAAACTACGTAAAGGTGGGTGGAGAGGAGTGACTCCACAGAGTTGTCCTCTGAACACACACACACACACGCACACACACGCACACACGCACACACCTTACACACCACATATACGCTCACCCGTGCACACATACACACATCCCACACATACACGCCACATACGCTGACACACAGCACATACCCTCACACACACAAACTCACGGACAGGCTCACACATGCACACACGCTATAAAATCTTATTTAAAGAAAAAAAGAGAAGACGTTCAACAGAAACCTACTTTTCCCTCATTGTCTGCTAATGGTGAGTGGAACTGAACAAGGGCTGGAGAAGGTACTGGATTCCTTAAGAGAGTCTGGAGTCATAATTGTTACTTCTTTTAACCTGTCTACCATGTTTAGCAGTCATTCTGAAGCTCCTGTCCTCTCAGACTGTTACTGCCCAGACACTTGCCCTAAGAAATGATACTACTCAAATTTTGAATTGAAAAATAAGTACCCTGAGTGAGTGAGAAATTTCTTTTTCCTGTGCTACCCCTTAATTCTTTTGCTAAGGTAAAGTCAATCCATGTTCACCTCACAGTTCCTACTAAAGCAGGGTTCTGAATTTCAGTGCTAGATGGAAATGAGTGCTCAATTTTAAATTTTTAAAAAAGTAGCATGCTTGACATCAATTTATCATTTGTTGGATTTAAAAGCACATATACTCGTTTATTTAGGCGAGGCCCTATTAAACTTGGGATGGCCAAAGTGACTCAAGTTGACTTTCCACCACGGGAAATCGTGACGTATACGAAGGAAACGCAGACCCCAGCTGCAGCTCAGCCCAAAGAAGGTGAGTGTCTGACCACGGCATGGCTGTCTAGGCTGTCAAGTGGCTAGGCATGGGTTATCTTCTTTATCTTTTGTTTGACAGTTTGGGGGTGAGGGGGTATGGTCTGACACAGGCTTGCACTTGGAGGCCAGAGGAGGACTGTCTGGTACGTTGCTCTGTCGCTCAGCCTCGTTGCCTGAAGACAGGGTGTGTCACTGAACCTGGACTGCCCTGGCAGCAGCAAGCCCCAGCTGTTGCCTGCTCTGACCACCACAGTGCTGGGTTGGGAGTGCACACAAGCACTCCTGCACGGTTCTGTGGGTTTTTCTGCTTTTTTAATGTGGATTCTGGGGATGTGAACTTAGGTTCTTATGCTTGTCACAGCAAGCACTCTTACTCACTGAGCCATCTTCCTAGCCCTAGTTTTGACATTTTCTTAGAGAACCATTATAAAACTAATAATGCTTCATAGTTTCTGTATTTATATGCATATTTTTAAATCACATTGAAGTGAACTCACAGATTAAAAACATAGCACAGCTAAACAAACATTACCCAGTGTGTGTGTGTGTGTGTGTGTGTGTGTGTGTGTGTGTTTTAATGATTTATTATTTGAGAATTTTAAGGGCTGGAGAGATGGCTCAGCAGTTAAGAGCACTGGCTGCTCTTCCAGAAGACCTAGGTTCGATTTCTAGCCCCCACATGGCTGCTCACAACTGTCTGTAGCTCCAGCTCCAGGGGATCTGACACCCTCACACAGACACACATACAGGCAAAACATCAATGCACATAAAGTAAAAATACATAAATCATTAAAAAAAATTAAAGAATTTTAAAGTTTTTACTTCCTAGCTTTCTGTTGACTTACATTTAAATTTACAGTCTTTGTCACTAATGTGTATTTGTGTGAGAAGTAGAAAAGCTTATGTTGTATTTCTCTGTCAAGCATAATTTTTTCCAAAAGCATTGTATGCCATGGTAAAAGAAGTACATTTCTTTTCTGCAGAACATGATGTATTTTGATAATACTGTTGTTATTATTCAAAGTAATAAGCCAGTCTTGGGCTGGGGAATCTAGCTCATTCTAGAGTGCTTGCCTAGCACGTGTGAAGCCTGGGTTCACTTCCCAGTGCCACAGATGAACAAATTCTTAATCTTCCCCTTAGGAGTTAAGGATTTTATTGCTTGTTGAGTAGCCTTTGATCTGGGTCTAATTCGAGGTCCTGTGCACAGATCCTCATATTGAATCCTGGAGTCCTTTGGCTCTTAAACCAGAGTACTGTTTTTTAAGTTGAGGATAAAATCTCCTTTTTCTTTTCTTTTTTTGTTTTTGTTTTTGTTTTCGAGACAGAGTTTCTATGTGTAACAGCTGTGATGTCCTGGAACTCACTCTGTAGACCAGGCTGGCCTCAAACTTACAGAGACCCGCCTGCCTCTGCCTCTGAGTCCTGGGATTAAAGGTGTGTGCGCCTCCACACACTGTTAGGAATCATTTAATAGTTAGTGAGTCAAGCACAAAAACAATGAAAGTTGTTGTTTTTAACCAGCTAAACTAATGAATTTATGTTGCACATAAAAGAGATTTAAATAAGATTCTGATATAAGTCCACAATCTCTTACGTAAAACCTTTAGGGCCATATATGCGTTGGGTTTTGGAACCATTCAGCCATTAGGAATGTATATTACTGTGTACATTAACACTCTAGCCGCATCTTAAGATATTGATGTTTCAGAAATAAGAGATATAACCATACCAAATGTGATAAATAATAACTATAAATAGCTTTTCTTATGATCATGTTGGGGTCAGGCACTAAGTTAGTCAGGATTTTGGAGCTATTGACAACGTGGGGATTTTGCATCAGGCATTGTGGGCCCTTATAAGCTACTCCTCTAATAGTTCATGTATAGGGTCCATTTTTTCCTGTTTAGTTGTAGAAAATCAAGTCAAAATTTAGCCTAATGTTTAATTTATTTTTAATTTTTCAGTTAAATGTTTTTCAGCTATGTTGAGGGCCCACACGCTCTAGGTAAACATTGGGTTGTTTTTTGTTGTTGTTTTTCCCCATTATGGAATTATTCCAGGGCAAGGCCTTTAGCATTCCTATGCTTCTGCTGTGCCAGCTTTTCCGAGAGCCGAGGGACTGTTTGTTTGTGCTGTGACGCCTGTGACTAGCATGTGGTGGGCGCTTGTTGCGTACCTAAAGGAATTAGGCAGTTTTCCTCCTGAGGGGAAGTTTGACCTATAGAGGACATTTAAATGTTTTGCTTCACCATGAAAGCAACTACTGAGAAATAGATTGTTTTCAAGTGTTAGTTCATTGTTGATGAAATTTGGATTAAAAGGCATGATTAGTCCAGTACTTGTTGAGTATATCCTAATTACTATGTGTTCTTAGGTCCAGGTCCAGAAGTGGAAGGATTATAGTCCACATCTAGGATATCTGATGCCCTCTTCTGCCTTCTGTGGGCACACATACACAAGTGGTACATGTATGTGTACACACACAGCAGTACTACCACCACCGCCACTATGACCACCAACAACCCCATACAGGAGCCTTGATTCTTATTTGCACACAGAGAAGCTGAAAAAAAAAAAAAAAAGAAGTAATTATCAAGGCTTCTTAGTTAGTAACTACTGTTCCAAGCTTTAACTGATTCTAAGATGCGCTTTCTCATGCTGTCACAGAGCAGCAAGTGTTGTGTGTTTGTAATAGTGACCGACAGTAGGTGGCCTTAAGGGTTTTTATTATATTCCAATGTTCCTATCGATCTAGAATAAAATTTTGTTAAAAAATAGTCTCTTTTCTCACTAGATCTCCTTTTTAAAAGATATTGACTACAAGTACAAAGTTCATTGGTCTAGAACTGTAGCTTAACAACACTTTATTCCAAAGGAGAGTGTGGTTTGGAGAGTGTATTGGTGTGTCTACATCAGAGTAGTATCATCTTAGTGCTAATCTCCAAATAATGAGTAAGCACCTATGCCTTTTCCCTGATAATAGAGGATAGAATTTTTCTTCACTGACAGAAATGCAAGTGGCAAGGTGGGTGAACTGAGGTTCATCCGCTTTGCTGTCCTTTCACAATCTTCACTGTCTGCATAGACTAGATTTACAGGTTCATTTTACAAAAGTCCATGTCTGTTCATTTACAGTCTAGCAAGTGTTCATTGAGTTCGTTGCGTGTCTACCATGTGTATATGAAGGCAGTAGATCTCACCTTTCCTTGCTTTTGTGATTTAGTTAGAGCTTGGAGTATCTAAGTGGAGAAGAATGAGAAGCATATACTCACTCAGACCATGAAGCCATCCATCGCCTGTACAACTACTTATAAAAACTAGAAACTTGGTTTTTTTATGTCATTACAATTAATTTCATGACATTAAATTTTGTTCCCATATTGTAGAAGTTTTAGAGGAAAGAAGAAGAAACAACTTTATATGGGATTTTTATAATGAAAACACTTTGTGCTTAACTACATTCATTGCTTTAACTCAGCACTCCTCAAACTCAGCTCAGCTGGCTGCTATTTAACAATGACTTTAGGGGTTGAGTGTTGCTTTGTGGTGGCGTGTTTGCCTCACATTCATGAAACACTGGGTTCAAGCCCAAGCACTGCATTTTTTTAAAGTTGTATTTACCTGAGAGGAAAAAAAAATCACCATGAAGAAAAAAATTGGAGTGTAACAGAATTCAGAAGGCAGTATCATCAGTGCAGGAGTAACGTGAGGAAGTGAAGGCTGGTCTTCAGTCTTTCCCATCTTCCTTTTCTGAGTGGCCAAACTACCCTTTAAAAAGGGCAGTTCCATTTCGCTTTGTTTTTCTCTGGTCTAGCTATCCTCCTCCTGTCACATTACATGAGTTGGTGGCACTGTATCTGAATCAAGGTGCTTCCATGTCTTAAAGCACCTACTGTGAATGAAATTGACTAAAGCCATGTGACCTCAGTCAATTCCTTTCTCTGCAGGTAAACAGCTTCCAGAAGGCAGGAGTGGTGCCCACAGGCACGAGCCTCCTACTCACGTTCCTGCCTTCACCTTTTAAAAGTCGTAACTCTTGAAAATAGCATTATGTTTTTTAATCCACCACTTCTATGGCGATTTTTTTTTTTTTTTAATTATAAAAAGGATTTAAAGGAGGAAGAAACCCTAAAGGCTCTGTAGCCTCACTGGCTTGTTTACACCCTTGGGAAGTTAGTTGCCGCCCTTGGTCTGCATTGGGGGCAGTGCCAGGGTCAGAGGCAGGGCAGCCTGCCACTCCTCCACTCCACTTTATATGTGGGCGGATTTCCCATCTATTGCTTATTGGTTAATGAGCCAGCTATTGTTGATTAGCGTTTATATTGGACAGAGATTGTTACATGTAAACAACTTGTAAATTTCATTGTATGATCTTATTTTCTAGAATACACACTTCCTACTTGTAGGCCAAATTTATGGGCTTTCTAGCTAATAATAATCGTATTAGCCTTATCTAAAATAAAGTTTTAAAAAGCCCCAAAATAAATTACGTATTTAACAAATTAGTTTTAACCTTTAGTATGTGAGACTATAAGTAAAACTGAACATTATGTCACTTATTCTTCATTTTGAACTGAAGGATTTAAATTGGAATAAAACTATGACCCAGGAAAAATGTAATATTTGATAAGATCACAGATAACTGGATTACTAATGATACCACACAGTCAAAATAAAATCCAAATTTTCTGTTTTAAAAAAAAGATATGCTGAGGGGCTGGAGAGTGGTGGTGACGGGCGCTGACTGCTCTCCTGAAGGGCCTGCGTCTGACTTACAGCACTGCTGTGAGCACAGCTGTCTTAACTCCAGGCCTCGTGGGATCCGACGCTGTCTTCTGGCCTTTGTTGGTACTGCACATACATGGTGCACAGACATACATGCACACAAACAATCATACCCATAAAATAAAGAATTTTACTAAAATTTTTTTAAATACTGTGTTGAGTCAAATTCTATATTAAAGCAAATGGCCTATGGATATTATTTTTTTATTATTTCCCCAACACTATATTTAAATTCAAAATGCTTATGATTGAAGTGTCAGCTCTGTTTTCCTTGTTGAAAACCCAAACTATTAAGCAAATACAAGTGGTTCTATTCAAGATATATGCAAAAAAGCAAAACCAAGAAAGGAATGAATCTTATCAATATATTGATACAACTTTGTCCCATTGAAGGTTGTCTTAAATGTTCTTTTGATTGGAAAGTATCAGAAGATAGGTTTGTAGGGGCAGGAAAGCTGTCTCAGTGGGTAGATACTTGTTGCCAATACCGATGACTGACCTTGACCCCCATGACCTGCATGGTGGGTTTAACGCCACACGTCATCTTCTGACATTCTCCTGTGCACCATGGCACACATGGGCCCAGCACGTGCCTGCCCACACGTGTACACACATTAAAGATAGTTGGATGGATGGATGGGTAGAATTTAAGGTTATTTAGAAAAATATTAAGGGAAAATCTTTCCTGTCTGGTCTGGATTTTTAAACTAATGATTGGGGAATTCGCAATACTGATAGACGTTTACAGGGTTATTTATAAGCTGAAATTTTGTAAGTTGAATCATTTTTATGAGCAACAAATTTCCTGATTTAAGTTAGAAATTTATCACGATATTAAATCAACTCAAAGGGCTAAATGCCAATAAGACTAACAATGAACTGTGCCAACAGCTGTATAGTGATAGGATTTATTAACTTTATGCTGAAAATGATAAGAGATTTATAAGCTGCAGTGTTTGTTTACTGTGTACTAAGATCTTGCATATTACTGTTTAAATGCAGCTATTGTAGAAATATTCAGAAGTTTTCTTAAACATATCCTAAGTATGAGTGGCCTATAAATGAGAGCGCCTGCTCAGAAGGCACCTTCCTCAGTTGAGCAGAAGCTGCCCGCTTCACAGATCATTTAGCTGATTAACACACTACCTTGCTGATTATTCTCGCAACCAGAATTTCACTCCTTGCTGTTGGCTCCGGGTGCAGCTTCATTTACAGAACAGTTCTCTCTTCATCTCAGGAAAGTGCATCACAGTTTTGGTGTTAACTGCAAGTGAAAACTCAGTGGTTCACTGAAGCTAGTTTTAGCATTCGTTGACAGGAGATGTGTCATTTTGAAAGTAACTGCTGCCTCTCTGCACCTTTTACTCCTCAGCCCGTAACCTTAGCTTCTCTGTCAGGGAAAGCCTGGAGTTAACCACTTAGCATGTAGTAATGAATATTCATCAGTAAATTGATGTGGCGTCTCAGCCTTCCTGTTCACTTTCCAGTCTTCCAGTTTTCAGGGTGTTATAGCTTACCACGTCACTAGGAGTATCTGAGGCAGTCTTCACAACTGTGGGGTTGGATCTGGGGCCACATTGGTGGTCCCGTGACACCCATAGGTGACACTGTAAGAGTTCTTAGTAAGAAGGGCATGCCAACTCAAAGGAACATTCTTTCACATACACATACACACATATTTTTATATATAGACGTGTGTGTGTATATACACGTATATAGTAAATCACCTAGTATATGTTTGTATTTACACATATATGTAGCTAATATATGTGGTTAGGTAGTATATATGTGTATACCTATATATACATGTGTATATATACATATATATGTAGGTGATTACTTAAGGTATCCTTTATAGCAAAACCAGCCCATTTTTGTAGTTGTTTTTTTTTTTTTTTTTTTTAGCAGACTGTTTGCTTTTATATTCTTAGGAAATTATTTCATCTAATGACCTTTCTGAAGCTTGATTTAAGTACTAATTATAGTTTTTAAGTCCATATTTTATCACTGTAGAAAAGGATGTATGTTCATTTATTCTAAAGTACAGTTCTAAGAGGTGTCTTGAAAGAGTTGCTGCTAAGCACCCAGCTGCAGTGTGGCTTGGCAAATGCTGCACAGCAGACAGGCAGACCAGCGGCTAACACACTTCACCTGTATTTAATACCTCCAAAGGAAAGAGCGTCTACAAACAAAATCTCTCCTGTTAACCAGGCAGCTGGGGGGTCACTTAGCACTAAAAGATGCCAACTCTGCATTGTGACAGGACTTTGCCGCTTGTGTTTGGGAATAGTACATGGAAATGGTGTAGCACAACAGGTAGAGGGAGGAGGGGGTGCGGCCTGGAGACTGGATGAGTCGCCATGTTCGGGAATGACTTGTCCATGGTGACTCCTGCAGCCTTCTCTTTAGGATTTACATCCAGGGAGCTAGCTGGTCACTAGAATTGATTAGAAAAGTTGACAGTATTTGCAAAAAGTGAGATACATTTTTTTTTTTCTCAAACTAATTGTAAAATAAAGAAGAAAGGCACAGGATTCTGAGAGCACCACTCATAGTAAATTTTTCCTGAAAAGAGACACTTTGTTAGTCTAGAAGTCAACTTATAAGTAAGTGTAATTATTTTATTTCAGTATCCCTGCCGATTGTTTTATGGCAGAGTTGCATCCTAATGTTGGATACGAGATAGATACAAGATAGAGTCACCATCAGGCACACTGTTTTCAGATTAATAATCCTTTGTGTACGAGAATTCATCTAAGAAGGAGTAGTGTCTTTCTGTTTCTCTATGTGATTATTTTGCCCAAAAAAAAGCTTCCATTTTTTTAAGTAGCACAAAAGCTGTAATTGGCATGCTTTGTAAGGAAGTGTCAGTGTGCGAGAGAGTGGCGATCGCTAAGAATTCTTTTACGTGTTCTTTCCCCTTTGCGCCACCGCCTCCTCAGCAGGGTCACTGAGATCACTAGCTTTTCTTGAAATGGCCATTTTCACTGGCAGGTGCATTATACCCTGTATTTTCAGATTGTTTTTCCATTCTGAATGTTTGGCAGGTTGATTGCTCCGGCTGCATTGACGGAGAAAGGGCTGACAAATGCGGTTGGGCTGGCTGAAAAGACAGTGATTACTGTTTTCCTTTGTGGCTGATTGAGGCCCTTGAAAGGAAAAATTTTAACCTTCACCATTTGGTTCAAAAGTATGAGCATATATTGAAATCACTCGTGCCATTTATCCCAGTTCTGTAAACTTGTCAGACGTAAAAATCGCTCAATTTCAAGTAATGTAGGATTGGCATACGTCATTATCATTCTGATTAAGTTGGAGGTTGTAGCGTTGTGTGCGTTACACAGTGTCATTTAAAGCTTTCTGTGCACTGGTACAGTTATATTTTTATTGCTCATACTATAGAGTTGGAAAGATTTTCTTAGCTCTCTAAATCTAATACTGTGTGTGGTTTGGCAGCTGGTGTGGCCTACAAGCTGCATTTTGTTTGCAGGGTAAAGGCTTGTCTGTAGCCTCCTGGAGTGTGGGTAATTGCACAGGCTCACCATTGGGGAGAGACACAGGATTGGAAGCAGTCAAGCGGAAGAATGTTATGCCATCCCCTTGCCACCTTGCAGCAGAAAGACAATCCCAGCGGTGCCATCTGGTTGCTGCTATCTAGTCAGCTGGCCTGACTGCTGGGACCGTGACTTGGCAGCTGGTTCCCATCCTTGACCGTTCTTTTGTGTAGGTTGGATGTGTAGGTTTTAGATCGTTTTGTGCATGGGTCAAGGAAATGACTAGAACAGACAAGGAAAGTCCCCTTGCTGAATAGGCTTTCATTACTGGAGATGTGCTCCGTGCAGATGCCTGCTGCCGTTCCCTAATAGACAACTAAGATGTGCGTGGGCGAGAAACACATGCTTATCTGTATGAGATCTGCCTTGGTTTGTAGCTTAAAGAGATGGTAGACAGGGCTGTATGCCCTGTAACATTTGAAAAGAAATTATTTTAAGTTATATATTGGTTTGGGAATTTATGAAATTTGAGAATTTTAAAGACTTATAAACATTGCATATTTCCATTTATTTTTATTCAAATTAAAGAAAACTGTTTTAAGTGCTTATTGCCACATCATACAGTGATAGATAATGAGACTTGCACTTAAAATGACAGAATAGAAAATGTGATCTCAAAGCTATTATCTTTAAAATCTGCCTCTCAAATAGCAACCTGAGAGTTGTAAGCATCGCTGTGTCCTAGGCGGGTGCTTCAGACACTGATGGTTTCAGATCACAAGTGAGCAGCCATCTCTGCGGGCTGTTGGAGACATTTGGTTTTCTTCATTCTGCAGCATTAGTGTGTCACACGCTCTGCAGAGCTGTGTAGGAGTCACATGTTGTTCTGTCTAGAATAGTAATGCTTGGAGGCGTTGAAAGACTTGCATGAGGAATTTGGCCTACGTATCTCTCACTTCTTCTGTACATAGTTACAGAATGTAGGGTAACTTTTGACGAGGCACTACAGCTATCTCCGCAGATCTCTGTGTTGGTGCTGGTAAAATTCCATTGTTCGTACACTGTCCTTCCCTTGAGGCTCTGCTCCACCTTGAGGGGGACGTGATGCTTCTGGATGCCACATCAGGACCAGTCGCCAATGTCTGTTCTAAGCTGCTCTTTGTTTGTTGTTTCCTCGTGTTCAGATGAGGAGGAGGAAGATGATGTAACAACCCCTAAACCTCCTGTTGAGCCTGAAGAAGAGAAAACTTTAAAAAAAGACGAAGAGAGTGATAGCAAAGGTATCTTAACATATTTAAGTTTTTTTGTTTTTTGTTTTTGCTGAGTCCTCTTAAAACTTTTTTACTACTTATAAGTTAAAGTAGAATAAAATGTTCTAAATCAAAGAGGTTACTTTTATTTTAAAAGAATGTATTGCCTTACTTGAACCATACTGTAATAGTGAGTTGACAGGATTTAATTGGCCAAAATCATACTTTGAAAACAGAAACAAAAACAAAACAAAAAAATGTTTTGTTTTTTTTTCCCCTAGCTCCCCCTCATGAACTAACTGAAGAAGAAAAGCAACAAATTTTACACTCAGAGGAATTTTTAAGTTTCTTTGACCATTCTACAAGAATTGTAGAAAGAGCCCTTTCTGAGCAGATTAACATCTTCTTTGACTACAGCGGGAGAGACTTGGAAGACAAAGAAGGGTAATGTTTAATGCCTAAGATCATAGCTTCTGCAGCCTAAAAGCATGGTAACATTAAGAGTGGCACAAGTTATAACGCTGTCTTTTGTGGGGAATTCTTTTTCTATAGGGAAATTCAAGCAGGTGCTAAGCTATCATTAAATCGACAATTTTTTGATGAGCGTTGGTCAAAGCATCGAGTTGTTAGTTGTTTGGATTGGTCATCTCAGGTAAAGTATAGCAAAACTGGTTGTTATTAACTCATTTTAAAAATTCTAATTAGTATATAGTCTTATTTTAGTTGCGGGACTGTTTATAATTATGTCTGTGTGTCATTTAAAATAAATAATAACGGGTGATGGTTCTAACGTTGTCATTGTCATGTTGACTTGTATACCTTGGAAGGAAGAATTGGAACTGCTTTTCAATTTGAAATTCAGGACCTTATTCCCAAGCCCAGTTTTGCTAATTTAATTAACCACAGAACACTTAATATAAAATTTAAACATTTTAAAGAACTATTTTAACACTTAAGCATTTTAAATGTTAAATTGTGCTAATTTAAAATTGGACTAACGTCTTGGTTAGTTAATTTTCAGAAAAATCTGATAGACAGTTTAAGAACATAAAATAGTTTTATTGTTCATAGCCTCTTTTTCCACACTTGATTCTTATGAGCAGTATCCAGAGTTACTTGTGGCTTCCTATAATAACAATGAAGAAGCTCCTCATGAGCCTGATGGTGTGGCCCTCGTGTGGAATATGAAGTACAAAAAGACTACCCCAGAGTATGTGTTCCATTGCCAGGTAAGATGGTCACTCAGCTGTGGTCCCACATGTAACGATTCAGTCATGAATGTAGACAAGTACCTTTTTTCTTTTCCTGACAACGTGACTTCATTGGCTTGGCATTTACTGCACCACTCCACATTTGCAAACAGACGTCAAACGGAAAGCGGAACACTCTTGGTTCAATATAATCTGCCTTTTATAGCTTTCCTAGCATCTCTCACATGTTTAATCACACCTGAAGTCCTTGGCAGTGTGACTTTCTGTTACTGTGATTGACCACATCGAAGGGATCTTTTGGAAGACATCTTTCCCATGGGGAATTTCTCTGGGACTTCTTGCTGAATATACAATTAGGCATCAGCCCACTGAATCACTTAAACATGGCCTGAGGAGTTGCACTAGGTAGCTTTAAGTAAAAACATGTGGTTGAAGTAGGAAGCAGATGTAGATTTTTTTAAGTGGATTTAGCAAAAGGTTAGAATTTGTGACTCTTTCTGATTGTATAAGTTAAAGTCTTAATAGTGGCATAATCCAAAATAAAGACTTTGAATCAAAACTAGTGTATTCTTAACTGTCATATTAGAGTAAGAGGTCAGTCACAAGCCATCTTTCCTTTAAAAACTGTAATTGGTTGAAGCAAATTTTGTTTTGTTTGATAATTGTGTAAACATATAAACATCACATTTGACTTTTGAACAAAAACTATTCTTATTTTTATTCTTAGAAGATTAAAATGGAATGGATTGTTTTTTAAAACTTCTACTACCTTAAGCAGTAGAAAGAGAAATGTTTCAGAGAGTAGGTTTTTTTTTTTTTTTTTTTAATTCACCAGACTCTTCCCACTTAAATCTTAAATACAAAAATTCTACTTCTTTGCAGTCAGCTGTAATGTCTGCTACATTCGCAAAATTTCATCCCAACCTTGTTGTTGGGGGTACATATTCCGGCCAAATTGTGCTTTGGGATAACCGTAGCAACAAAAGGACTCCCGTGCAGAGAACTCCCCTGTCAGCCGCTGCACACACAGTAAGTACCTGGTTACTTCATCAGACGTCTGCATGCCCTCCCCACTGGTGGTGGTGTACCCACAAAGTGGGTTCCTAACGTGCGTCCTTGTATGTGGCATACCAGGAAGTCTTCTAAGACTTCTAAGACTCTCTTCTGAGACAACCTTTTATTAGTGGAACAGCAGCAAACCACTGATGGACAGCACTGCTGTCCCAGCAGTGCTCAAGGTCCTGGGTTCGGCTCCCAGGAGCAGCAAAACAGGGCTGTCAGGTTACAACACTGTCTTGATATGAAATGGAACACCCATAATTAGATTAGTTTTTTTCTGGGCTTTGTTGTCTGTTTTATAAAAGCTTTGAAACTCTTTGTGTGTGTGTTTGTAGCACCCTGTCTACTGTGTAAATGTTGTTGGAACACAGAATGCTCACAATCTGATTAGCATCTCTACTGACGGGAAGATTTGTTCCTGGAGTTTGGACATGCTTTCCCATCCACAGGTCGGTAAAACCTAGAAACATGAGAACTTGAAGTAAATGATGGTTTTTAATTTTATATATACCACAGTGTGCATTTCATCAGAAGCTATTTTTACACTAGTATACAGATTGTAACCTAAATAAATGTTCATAGTTTAAATGTATCTTATCAAACCTTTTTCATTTAACTGAGGTAGGTTTATATTAATACTGTGTTAAAACAGTAGCTTGTAAGCCAGTTAAAATTCGAAGCTTTCTAATGAAGATCTGAAATTAAAGCCTTACAAAATCACTTTCTACTCTTTCTCTCTGTAGGACAGCATGGAGTTGGTTCATAAGCAGTCAAAGGCTGTAGCTGTCACGTCTATGTCCTTCCCCGTTGGAGACGTCAACAACTTTGTTGTGGGCAGTGAGGAAGGTTCTGTGTACACAGCTTGCCGCCATGGCAGGTAAAGCCTGATAGGGACTAGCCGCTAGTCAAACTCTTCTCTTGACTCATCTCATTGAAACAATTTGTTCTGTATTTAAGTAGAATCCTCTTCTAGACTTGTGACATATTAATTCAGGCACCTAAAACTTAAGTAAATTTTCTTTTTAAACTGTAGTAGTTTGGATTCACGTGTTTTGGACTGTGTGGGCTGCGGTTTATTGTCGGGATTTGTGAGTGCATGTGCTCCCAGAAGTTACTGGTAGGCGGTCTGTTCAGCAACTAGAAATGCAGTGTGTGTGCAGCCGACATTGATCGGCCTCCAGGTTTGTAAATGGGGCTGTCACCTGGTTTCTGTTTGGGTTTATTTGAACTTTGAGTTGTAGTCCAGGCCTACTGATAATGGTATAGCAATGCCATGACATATGTTAGACTAATATTTCTCCTGCTGTTCAGCCTGTTTGGAAATTGTCTAGCTGTCCTTTAAAAACATTGAGCATCTGGACCTCATTTCCAATACAGATCACCTTCACTTCAAAGCTTTTGATTTAAATTAGTCCAGATTGTCTGTTACATAGCATCCCTTTGTCCTGTTCTACCAACGTGGATATTGGTCTTCTGAGTTCTCTTGTCAACAGCGTGGTGTTTATGGCTCCAGAAGGTCCCTTCTCCTTTAGTAGTGTTATCAAATCTGAATACAGTGGCATTTGGCATAAGCTACGCTGATGAACTGTGAACACAGAATTGTGTTTGAAATTAAGTCACAGTCTGCTATATAAACCCACAATAAGATACATATTAGCTGGGTGTGATGGTGCAGGCATTTAAATCTTAACTCTCTGGAGGCAGAGGAAGGTGGATCTCTGGGTACAAAGCTAGCCTGGCCTACAAAATAAGTTCCAGACCAGGTTAAGCTACATAAGACCCTGTCTTAAAAATGAATAATAAAAATGTTAAGAAAATGATATATGGTGTACCTACAAGAGAGTTTCCTAACGTTTTCACTTTTATGAAATAGCAAAGCTGGAATCAGTGAGATGTTTGAGGGACATCAGGGACCCATCACCGGAATCCACTGTCACGCGGCTGTTGGAGCAGTAGACTTCTCACATCTCTTTGTCACCTCATCATTTGACTGGACAGTAAAACTTTGGACAACTAAGGTATCTGAAATGCAGCATTCTGCTCATTCGGTCGGTTTCCTGACACAAGGTGGTGCTCTAATACTGCAGGGAAAGACTCGGGTCTTAGAGCTTAGATGTCTTGGAATTGTTCCCAATAAGTGACACCTGCTAAGGAGTTACGCGGTGTGCGAGGGTGCTGCTATTAAGATGCTGACAGATAGAGTGACCCCGCAAGAAATCGAAGACCAGTCTTCCTACTCTAGGCTTTTCAAGCAAAGATTTGTTTACTCTGAATTTGTTGGGAAGATGCTCCTGGGTGTCTCCTGTACTCCCTCATATAATTTTACCCAGCTCCACACAAAGCCTTTCATTTGCTCTGTGGAGAGCTAAGAGGCTTAATTCAGGACTGCAGTGGCTCCCAGAGCTGCTGGGAAATAGAGAAAAGACAGAGACCATTTGCAGTAAGTCCTGTACAATAGGCTACACAATAAACTCGAATCATCAAGAAATCATTGTGGAGACACGCATGGGTTTGTTTTCTTACTGTAGTATAACCAGTTTGGTTTGTTGAGGCTTAGTAAGCTGGTTACTTGAAATATCTGCCCACTTAGTGATAAAAGTGTTTCCTAGTCCTCCAGTAATTCCACTGAGTGTAGTTTGGCCTGGCCTGGCCAGTGACAGTCTCAAAGACAGAGCTTAGGGAACTCCGTGACCTCCAGAGTAGACTTTGTTGTTTTGCTTGACCTCTTGTTATAAGCGTGACCTGCTTGTTTTCTAGTTCTCCTGCAGGACCGTAGTGCTGCTGGTGAAACTGCAGCCAGTATAGCCTCGTCTACATAAGCTGTGCCTTAAGCTTCGTTTTCCCGTCCATCTGCTTTATCTTAATGTTCACTTTTTAAATCTTCTGCCATAGAGCAAAGTGTAGAGACAGGCTGTGGTTCTTGAAGATCTTTGAGAAAATCTAGTATTGTTAAGAGATGCCTACTGCTGTAGGGAGCTCCGGTTTCTGTGTTTACTAAGTCCTGGCCTCAGCGTCCAGAGTACACTCACTGGTCATTCTTGTCCAGTCTTAGGGACCCTCTGTCAGTCTAACATGAAATAATTTAGAAAACAGCCTTGTAAAGCTTGCCTTTTAAAATTGAGCATTTTCAGCTTTGACATTAACAGACACAAAGATAGCACTTCCCTTGAGTCTAAGGAAGGAAGTATCTAGAAAAGTGCTTAACACATGTCCAGCATGTGGCAGGCTTTACTCTAATGGGGGTCAGAGCCAGCTCATTCATCCTGGGATCATACGCTGGAGAAAGGGTAGAGAAAGAAGATTCCCAGAGCCATAAGCAAAGTAGTACATGGCCGACAACTCTGTGTGTGGGGGGAAATACATAATGTGCTAGGAAACAAGACAAGATGCAAAATCACAATGATGAAACCTTCCATTCCCACATAGGCTTTAAATACCCATATAAGTTGCAAGGTTTCTGGGTGTGCTTTCTCATGTCCTAACCCTGTTAGAGTCTAGAGAGACCTGTCTTCGCTGCATTCTTGGCCAGCTCCTTTCCCTTTTTGGCTATTGGAAGAATCTTCACTTGGTGACTGACTGAGTCATTGATTTACAGAGTCAGATTTCCGGTTGGCTGTCTCCCTATCTGCTTGAACTTTGAGTACACTTTCCCAGGGTGCAGAGGTGAAGAGCTCACCTGCCTCGAGAGGGATCTTGCCTGTGACAGCAGACTGATAGACAGATGGGCACTTGGTTTTGTGGTTCACTAATAGTTCATATTTTTGTTTCTGTGTTTCCACCTAGAAGTTGCTTTTATTTGTTTGTATCTGTGTGATTTATGTATTGTGCGTGTGTGTGAATGCAGATGTGCTTGTGTCACAGTGCACAAGTACAGAGTTGGTAGTCTCTTGCCACCGTGCTGGGTGGCGGGTAGGGCTGGTCGTCATGCACTCAGGCCCCACTGTCGCTCAGCCATTGCCCTGTCCCAGGAGAGATTTGGGTAGCAAAGATAGGGAGGCAAAGCTCTTTCCCTTGTTATTAGGTTAAGTTTTGTTGCCTCTCTCACTCACTCATACATGGTGTGTACCTTGCCCTTGCCTCTTACACCTTCCTAGCAGCATAGAATAGTGTATTTTACATCACATTGACCAAGAACCCCCTAAAGTGTTGTCAGAAGAATTGCCTCGGCCTAACTTGTTTTTATGTTGTTTAGTGATAATAGTGGACTTGTCCACTGTGCATGAGCTCCTAGGTTCAGTCCCCAGCCCTGGAAGGAAAAAAGGACTAAGAATTACCACCTTCTAGCCTATCCTTTCCGCACACTTCTGCTCTGTGAAGGGCCAAGCAGCAGCAATCTTCTAGGTAACTATGTAGGTAGCCACACTTGTGCAGCTAGAGTCAGTGGATTCACACTTGAGCTTATGCTCCTTATTTAGTTGCTGGTATGTATGTACCTTCTAAATATTTGATCGAAGGCCACCCTGTGTTGGATTAATGACTAATACACATGTTCATGGATAATGAATGCCAATGAATAGTAGACAGTATCTTAATTTATACATTCTTTTTTTAATATTTTTATTTTATGTGCATTAGTGTGAAGGTGTCAGATCCCTTGGAATTAGTGTTACAGACAGTTGTGAGCTGCCATGTGGGTGCTGGGAATTGAACCCGGGTCCTTTCGAAGAGCAGACAGTGCTCTTAACCACTGAGCCATCACTCCAGCCCCAGACAGTATCTTAAAACCACTTTAAAAACATTATTCCAACTCCATTTTAAGCTTTTATTTTTTAATTTATTTAATTTATGAGTGAGAGTGTTCTGCCTACATGTATGTCTGTGGACCACATATATGCCTGGTGTCCAGAGAGGCCAGTAGAAGGCATCAGATCCCCTGGAAATAGAGTTACAGATGGTTTTGAGCCACCATATGAATGCTGGCAATTAACCCTGCGTCCTCTACAGGAGCGGCCAGGCTCTAACCACACAGCCATCTCTCCAGGCCCCATTTTAAGCCTTTAAAAGCAGTTGCTCACATTTGTACCCTTAACAGACTCCACGTGTCTTGCTTCTCCACCTCTCCTTTTTATGTACCTTCCTACGCTAGGAACTGAACTCGCTTAACGTGGAAGAGCGAGTCATTAACTGCTACATTATCTCTGCATGCGCTGAGGTGTGGCTCTCCCCAGTATCAAGGCAAGATTCTTCTTTTCCTCTTTTCCTCTTTATGTAAATCCTGTCAGGGTGGAATTCGGAAACCTCAGTGTGCTACTACCTCAGATGTACTTTAGAGTGGTCTCCACTGTAGAAGCCTCTGATGTTGGCTTGGTGGGCAAGTGTGAAACCTAGCCCGGGGTTCAGGTTCATCAGATTGCTCTAGTACTTTCTGACGTAAGCTATCTGCAGTGTAGAAAACCACACACAAGTGGATGGTCATGATCATCTGCATACATCTGAACTTCTTGTTGTTGTTTATTTTTGAGACAAGGTTTCTCTACATAGCCCTGGCTGTCCTGGAATTCACTAGGCAGAGAAAGCTGTCCTCAAACTCAGAGAGATCTGCCTGCCACTTCCTCCCATGGAATATACTATGCAAACATTAAAACATCGTCCCCCAAAAATACTTCCTTTAAGAATAACCCAGGGCAGGTGTGTTAAGATCTGCTGAAACAGTCACCTAATGAACAGACCTGAAATCCCCATCTTCCAGGTTACACCAAAGAAACTGTCATTGCTCATTCATTCTCCCTGCTGTTTTGCAGACCCACTAATGCACTTCTCTTGTGGACTTTCAAGTTTGGTGTTTTGAGATTTTAAGTGTCTTCTAAATATTATAGAGGCAACACCAATATTACAGAATTTCACCAATTTGAAAGAGCTGTGCACGGTGGAGCATGTCTTTAATCCCAGCACTCTGGAGACAGAGGCAAGAGGATCTCTGACTTCAAGGCCAGCCTGGTCTACAGATGAAATTCCAGAACGGCCAGGGCTACACAGAGAAACTTTGTCTCAACAAAACCAACAAACAGATAAAAAGAAATGTTCATATAATAGACAAGTTAAAATGAGAATATGGTTTGAAATTGAGAGGAGGTATGAAGGAAGGCTGACTGACGATGCAGACCCAGTTTCACCTGGTGGCGCTTACCTCGGGAACTTGCTACAGGCCAGCGGCAAGCCTTCTTTGCATATTTAGAAACTCAAATCTTGTCAGCTACTGGAATTGATTAGACAAGGGAATGTGAATGTAACTAACAGGCTCCTGAGATACTGATACATTGGAGAATGTCAATTTATTAATTTACAGTCAGAACCTAAACTGGCAGAAGGGCCCAGATACTCCTGCCGCCCTGACCAGCTCATTGTTTCTCTGTAGACTACCCACATGGGAAGCCAAATTATAATCAGACGATTGCTTGGTGAGCAAGGAATTAGAACAAAAGGAGTTTTTATCATTTGAATATTCAGTGGCATCAAGCTAAGATAGCTTGATTCATCTTCAAGTAAAGATAGCCTTGCCATGGGGTAGTTGATTCTCTCAATCTGTTGTCTGAGGCTCCCTCTCTCCCTCTCTCCTGGACAGTGATGAACTGGTGTCATCTTCATTTGCCTTGTAAGACTATCTTTCATTACTTCTAATAGATATATCTGCAAAGATTATCCTTTGTTGGGTGGTGGGGGAAGTTATTTTTGACCTTGGAATGACTTGTGTGTGTTTGCTTGTGGGCGTGTGCATGAGCAGTGGGTCAGAAGCCCAGGATTCCCTGGAGCAGGAGTGACAGGCAGTCTGCTGGGCATGGGTGTTGCGTTGACCCCTGCAGGGACAGTCAGTGCTCTTAACCTGAGCCGTCTCTCCAGCCCTACAATGATTTCTTGTCGAGGAAACTTGCGTATTTCTCCTGTCACCCGAATTGAGGGCACAGGTATTTGCGGTTCACTGTTGACCCTGATGTGCTGACTGTAGAGACTCGTGTTACTAGTCTAGAACTTCCCCGTTGCCCCAGCTTTGAAAACAATTATCTGTTTCAGGTTCTTTGCCGTTAGAGCAGCTTAGCACAGAGAGGCTTAAAAAACAGAAATGTGTTGTCAGCTTAGGAGGTGTTGGCGGGCTACTTACCCTTGCAGGTCTGAGAACTTGTTCTGTCCTTGTCTCCTAGCATCTGGTGACTTGTCAGGAATCCTTGGTGTTCTTTGGCCTGCAGCTGTTATCACTCCAGTTTCTGCCTTTGTCATCATCACATGACCTTCTGAACCTGTTTGCTTCATTATGTCTCTGCATACAAATTCCCATGTAAAAACACAAGTCACAGTAGATGTAGCACACCCTAATACCGCACAAGCTGTTTAGTTTGCTTACATTTACAAGTGCTGGACAGACATGAACTTCAGGGCAACACCATTCAGCCCAGTCTATGCTTTGAGCTTAGGAAAAACTGTAGGGCCTGTCCCTTGACCATGAGGTGTTTATTGTCACAGCAGAACCAAGTGATTATTCTATTTATTCAAATGCTGCTTTTCACAGAAGCCCTTTTGTTTTGATTTCTTTTTGGCAAATATGTTTTTGCTGGTCTTTTGTGAAGGAGAATAGAGACTTACTGTGCATTATATGGCTCCACAGGTTCTCATTCCTGGTCATATACAGGAGCAGCTTTTTAGACTTTGAAGTGGCCCCTGATACCCAGACCAATGAAATCAGAGTCCAAGAGCAAGACCCTCGCTACACTGTGCTTAAAAATTCTCTAAATGGTCACGGCATACAGCCAAGCTTCAGAACCAACAATGTGAAGCCTTTGTTTTGTAGACAGGGAAATGGGCTTAAAAAGAATGAGGGACTTTTCTCAGAACCTTGAAGCTGCTTGCTAGCTGGACTGAAACCACAGGCTGGATCCCTTTCCAGCTGTCCTTGCTGCCTCAGTGCCATTTCGGCTGAAGTGCTCTTCAAAGTAAAGGAAGATACCACATTAAAAGGATATTTAAAATGTCCCACTTGGGATTTTAATTTGCAATATTATATCTTAAGTTACTGTACTGTGAGACATTATTTGATATTAAATATGTGCATTTTTCTCAGTGGGCAAAACTCTGTCTAATCATTAGATAACTATGTTTTTTAAGTGAAACTAGAAAAGAGTTTTAAAATAGTCACATTTTAAATTGAAGGACATTTTGCTTTTTTTCCCCACATAATTTTTTTTGGATTGTGCTCTTTTAACTGGGCAGTAATAGCATGTGCCTTTAATACCAGCACTCAGGAGGCAGAGGCAGGCAGATTCTGAGTTCAAGTCCAGCCTGATCTACAGAGAGTTCCAGGACAGCCAAGGTTACACAGAGAAAACTGGTCGTGAAAAAAAAATTTTTTTTAATAAATTAAAATTGTGATCTTTTGCCAAGCTGTATAGCAATCCACTGAGTAGATTAAATATTTGACTTAAGCATTTCCTGAAACTATTTTTATTATAACTGTTTTAATCTAATTTGCATATTGCTTTTTAATAATTTGTGGTTTATAAAAAGGAGTATGTCCTCATTCTGGCTTGCTGAACACTTCAACGGTGAATTACATGTCCCTGAGCATAGTTACAGGTCCTTCTCCTTTCAGCCATGTAAATAAACGTAGTTTATGTGTCCGCCTGCTGATGGTATGTGGGTTACTCCAGTCCTGCTGGGAGAACAGCTGGCGTTGCCTTTGTCTCCCTGTTGTTTTCTTAGGTAGAGTCTTGCTGTGTAGCCCAGGCTGACCTCAAACTTACAGTCTTTCCAAGTACTGGGATTATAGTGTGTACCAATAGGCCAGGTCATAGCTGTCTTTGATGGCCATAAACAGTTAGTTCTGTGGGTATGTACTTATGTATGGCGTGGTTAGAGGCCCTGCGGTCAGCTTGAAGAGATTGCCTGGCAAATCCAGGTGAGTCTGCCAGCTCCTGACCCGGCGGCAGTAGTATGTGTAGGGCTGACTGCTCTGCGTCCCTGCCCTCTTTTAGAGTTTTCTGCTGCGTTCGTTGCCTTTTAACCTTCGTGGGAGAAGTGGCGCTGCTGGGTTTACGTCATTGTGATTGAGCACTTTTCCATGACATTATTGCCCGTGTGTGAGCTCTTCATTACTTCGCCCCTTTTTGCAGCACTGGGCTTGAACTCAGAGCCTGGTGCCTGCCACGCAGTTGTTCTACCATTGAGCCATGTCCAGCACGTAAACATCACACTTTCGTGCCTCCAGAGATTGAATGCTAGGCAAGTCTCTAACACTGAGCTCCCTCCCCTCCGCGCGCCAGTTCCCAGCACACACCTTTTTACTGAATATATGAATATGGATAAGCATATTGTTAACAACTTGTTTTAGGTTTTTGGTGAGAAACCTTAAAGCTGCCCGGAAGCGGGATGTCTGAAGTGCTCTGTCACGGTAGCCAACTGGAGTCATATTAGATTTTAGAATCATTGGTGTGCCAGAAATAGCCATGAGGTACCCCTGGGGTGGCTTTACAGAGTCACTGGGCGATTGTGTGTACATCCAGTAAGCTGTAGCCTTACTCTCATAACGGTGACTTCAGAAGGAAAAGAGTCCTTTTCTGCGTTTAGCTTTGTTTGTTTGTTTGTTTGTTTGTTTGTTTCAATTTTTTTTGTTAATTTGCAGGGGTGAGATGGAGTGGGGTGGGAGGTTTTGTTTTTTTGTTTTGTTGTTAGGCATTTTGGGTCACTACAATAATCATGATACTGACATTAACTATCATATCTTAAAATTTTAAACTCACAGTTTAAAACTTTATTGGGCTGATAAGATGGCTTAACAGGTAAAATGTTTCCCACCAAGGCTGACAAGCTCAAGCCCCGAGCCCCACATGGTAGATTCAGCACTGCCCCCCACAGGTTGCCTTTCCAACCTCCTTACCCACGCCCATACTCAAGTGTGTCAGTGTTACCAGTGTGTGAGGTGCAGACAACAGCCTGAGACCTTCTCTCATCACCTGAGCTCCTGGTCCCTGCTCTCCTCAGGCTGCTCATCAGCCTCCTGAGTGAGAGCGCTGCGGCTGTCACCCCCCTCTTCCTCAGCACAGAGGCTGTCACCCCCCTCTTCTTCAGCACAGAGGCTGCCACCGTTCTGGTCCCGTAGCTTACCAGTGAGGCCTGTCTCACCTTGCTGGAGACACTGTGAGTCTTTGCCTCTGCTGTCCTTGTTGCTTTATCTGCTTTCATAGCGGGGTGTCCAGGCAAGCCAGACGTCCTGTCCCTCCATGCCAGCCTCCAGGTCCTGACACGTGTTTTGAGGCTTAGTCTATTCTTTTTTCAAAGACAGTATGACTACTACCAGCCAGAAAGAAAATGCCACCTAGTGCCTGGTTCTTAGTTCATAATGCCAGGCGCTTCTGTGGTGAGTTCGGAGACACTCTAGCCTGAGTTGGTAGGAGCCTACACCTGTAGGTTCTCTGCCGCGTGTCAGTGACGAGTGGATAAGGATCTCTGTGCGTGCCGTCTGCCGACTGTACTAAGAATTAATGTTTCCTTTCCAGAACAACAAGCCTTTGTACTCATTTGAAGATAATTCAGACTATGTTTACGATGTTATGTGGTCACCCACCCACCCAGCCCTGTTTGCCTGTGTGGATGGCATGGGGAGACTGGATCTGTGGGATCTCAACAACGACACAGAGGTGAGCAGGAAAATAACAGAAAATCGGAGATTTATTGAATAATTTGCGAAATGTCTTTTATCCCAAGGAATGTAAAAGTGCTCTGTGATTGTCACTTCATCACAAAGAAACCAAATAAGCTTTGTGCCTACATAACAAACAGCATGCTGTGAGGAGCTGAAGGGAGAAATGGCACGCCGTGAACACTGGGACATTCTTCACTGCTGAAAAGCAGCATCGCATGTCTCCGTCCAGGCGAAGTCTCCATGGGGGCTTGGAATATGGCTTCATTCTTAGGCTAGAAAACACATAGCCGCACATTGTCCGAGTATGTTAACCTTTATTCTGAACTCCCCGTTAGCCGTGGTGGGACTGTGTATCATCCATAAGTGCTAGTCCTAGGCTGATATGGTTGAAAGAAAGGAAATGTGTTTTGATTGCCTTTTTCCATGAAGGATTAAGATCTGTGTGCCATTAACTATAAAGTGGATATGGAGCTGGGCATAGTGGCACACGCAGGTAAACCCAGCACGTGGGAGGCAGAGGCAAGAGTGTCGTGAGTTAGAGGCTACATCTGTGGCAAGACCTTGTCTCGGAAATTCAGTCTGGGCATGTAACTCATAGGGAGAGCATTTGCTTACCACATGCAAATTCCCAGCACCTAAATAATAATAACAGCATAGAAACCATCACATTTCTTAGTTGTTATACCAGATTTGTCCGTGCAGTTTAACTGCGTCTGTGAGTATCCTTAGCCAGTTTAAAGAGGCTCACATTGTTCTTAGGCCCCTGTATGCCTCCCCTTAGCGGGCGTGATGCCAGCAGTTGGCAGCAGTGGTTGTGGAAGAGCCAGCCTGGAAGTCAAGCACTTGCTTCCACAAAGATGAGGAAACGCAGCAATTTAATGCTGTTGTCTACTATTTCGTCCTTTAATTGTTTACTGTACCTATACATGTATTTAGCAAGCTCACTATATAACCTTGGACTAGGTGTAGACTAGGCTGGCTTTGAACTCTCAGAGGTCCTCCTGCGTCTGCTCCCCACCCCAACAACCGCCCCCAGTGTGGACATTAGAGACATGCACCACCTTGCCCTGCCCAAGTTTACTTTCTTAGTTTGGATTTTTCTCTACCAATGATCTATGGCCATAATTGAATGAGGATCTCTTAATAGTTTGATTGTTATATCTCGGGCTGGTCACTTGGGAAAGACTGATTTCTGCATGAGGAGTACTCTTGTCATATTTCAAAAGTTTTAGGTCTAACTATGTTTTTCAGTCTGCCTCAGTAACCAAGTGTTGCTCAGGTTGGCAGAGGCGCAGTCAGGCTCCAGGGCCTGCTGCCCTCGCAGAGGCACTATCTCCGGCCTTCCTTGGGTCGGGGCTTGGGAAAGCTTGTTGTACCACCAGTGTACACTGTTTCCAGGACTGCTGTCCGTCAAGTCAGCCAGTTTTAGCTGAGGAAGATACAAGCAGCGGACTTAATTCCTGTCCTCCGTGACTGAACTGTGACCTGTTTATGAGCACACTGGAAATATTTTCTTTTTAGGATGGGTTTGACCGCTTAAAGAAGTTAAACACAAAAGCCCTTTGCTGAGGGGATCCGCACAGCCCTGTAAGAATTTCTTAGATAAGTACTGGGTATCTTCCCAACTCATCTTTAAGGGGTGATGGTAATCTCACCATAATAAATTCTGAACAGAGAGGAAGGTGGGAAAATTCTTTATTCTCATTTCTTTTTAAAAGCACAGATTGAAGATTCTTGTTTTACATGTTTAGAAACTGATGAAACTTTTAACTGTGCTGTATTTTAAATGACATAGGTACCAACTGCCAGCATTTCTGTGGAGGGCAACCCCGCTCTTAACCGTGTGAGATGGACCCACTCAGGAAGAGAGATCGCCGTGGGTGATTCTGAAGGACAGATTGTCATATATGATGTGGGAGAGGTATGAGGCTTGCAGCCTATCACTTTGACACATCTGCATAATGACACTGTAGTGAAGGTATCGTGGTAGCTGTGTCTTAACGGTATACGTGATGTATGCTTTTCACCAGAGAAACAGCTTCTGAGTCTCGTCTCTAAGTGGGTGCCCTGTGCCCTCGCGCAGCCGGTGTGAGGGTAACGCCGTACCACATAGTACCGTGCTCATAGATTCCTGTGCTGCTAGGAATTCTTCAGGCAGAAAAGGAAATGTGTGATTGCAAGTAGACTTGGAGTTTTATGGAATTGATATTGAGATAAATTTCGTTTTCTGTATTCATAGATTTGTTTGAACCAAATAGTAGAAATCAAAGATAGTATCTTTTGATAGCTCTTTTCCAAAAAAAATATCGAATGTGTATATGTATGCCTGAGTATATGTATGGGCACTGTGCATGCTGGAGCCTGTGGAGGTCAGAAAAGGGCATTGGATTCCCTGGAGCTGGAGTTAAAAGCTGTTCATAATCACCATCTGTGTGCTGGGTGCCAAACCCAGGCTCTCTACAAGAGCAGCCAATGAATGCTCTTAGCCACTGAGCCATCTCTCCATCCCCCTTCCATGCTTCTTAATAACTGTGAGAAAAAAATGAACCTTGAGACCTCAGCTCGGGTGCAAAGGCATGAGATGGAGCTCAGCAGGATGAGTCGAGCTCTTCTGTCACTCTGCTTGACTGGACACAGCATCCAGAGGCCCAGGGCCCGGTTCTTCCTGTCTGCTCCTGACCAGACCACCTGGACATCTTCTACGTCATTATTCCCCATCTTGTCCTGGTACTTTGTGGCTCTAGCACTCAGGTCTTGGTGAGACTGGGTCATTTAGGGCAGCCAGTTGGACAGTGTTGGTGGATGTCCTGCGTCTGCACTGGTGGTGCGTGACCGCTAGCTGCGCGCCCCTGTTGAAAGGCTTATGGTTAGTGAAGCTCAGGGCCAGTCTCTGTGAAAATACAAGAGGAACTGTAGGGAAGTTTGATTGCTTCTGTGAAGCAAAAGCACCGTAAACTCTTGACTCAGCACTATGTTAAGGAGCACTGTAACTTCTGACAAAGGAGCCGGAGAATCAAGAAAGAGTGCTTTCTGTTCCAAACAAACCCTGTGTTCAAGAGTCACAAACTGGAGGCAGCCTGGGCCACAGAGAGTGATTCTGCCTCAGAAAAGAAATAAAATAAAATAAAATAACTATTTCATACTAGTAGTGATGCAAAAAAATACAAAAAAAAAAAAAAAAAAAAATTGAAGGCATCCCTCTCATCAGCAAGCCCCACAGAGGCGCCAGGAAGTCTGTTTACAAAGCATCCTTGTTGTGGCCTTGCACTGGTGGTTGTGACAGCACATTTGTTTCTGAGGCTGTCAGGACACGTTTCACAAACACCTTTTGTTTTGAAATGTTGTAAATCATTATTATAGTCTCTGTAATTATAGAAAGGCCCTTTAGGTCAATTATTACTTTTTACTGGAAAAATTATTTGAAAACAGAGTAATAGTAGAGACGATGAATTTTTATTTCATTGCTCAGCAAACATTGTCTTTCTTTTAACAGCAGATCGCTGTTCCCCGAAGTGATGAATGGGCAAGATTTGGCCGAACACTCGCAGAAATTAATGCAAACCGAGCTGACGCAGAAGAGGAGGCAGCGACCCGAATCCCTGCCTAGCCTGAGAAGTGGGCTGCAGCCTTAGCAAACTGGGCAAAAATGATTAAGTAGACCCTCAGCTATTTGCATGCTTCTGATTAAATGATATGAAAAGGAAATTCCGAGAGGAAACTGGGTTCAATGCAGGAAGCAAAGCTTACAGTGCCCTTTTTATATTCTTTTTGGTTTGGATTGGTGTCATTTTTAATATAGCTGACAACTTTACAAAATGGAGCCTTTTCTGCATCCAGAGACATAGATGTGTATATTCTTTTGGATTCTCTTCAACTTGTAATACTATATATAGTTATTTCTAAAGCACAGACTAAATAAGTTCTGCATATTTCTAAAAAAAAACACAATTTAATATGCAATACAGTACATAATTCCTGTCAATTATCTTCTCAGTGCCCTAACTGTGTGGGAACATTGTTCTTAGTCCCGGCATGCATTCGCCTACCTGTTTTAAGTGTTGTTCTGATGCCATTTTCCTTCTCTGTGGTTCTATAATAGTTATCTATAAATAAAAACAAATATGTGCTAACTTCTCAAATTCTTATTTTTACTTCTTGAAATTTGAAGTTTTCTCTTATAAATCTTTTGTTAGTTTCTAATGCAAGCAGCCACCTTAAATCTCCTGCAGCCTTAATACACACCATATAGGGATAGGCTAGAGCATTTCTCCTTAGGCACTGTGAACTCAGGGTGGATAATTTGTCAGTGGAAACGTTCTCTTAGGTTCGCTTTTGCTGACTTACTTTCCTTCTATTTATGTTTGTTCTAAGGAATAAGTGCTCAGTTCCTTCATCTACACTGCTGAGACCACAGTGCAGGTAAGCTCTTGGAGAGAAGGTTGCTGTGGGCGCAGCAGCCATGAAAGAGGTGTGCTCAAAGGCCCTCGCCATCCTGGAATTTGCTAGCACAGCTCTGTGAATCTTTAAGGCAGATGGCAAATGTCTGCATTAGTGTGAGAGTCACCTGTCTGTGGACAGCCAGAATCAGATTGTGAAGGTTTACAGGTTGTCCTTACCTTTAAGTTTTTCCGAGTTTAACTCTTCACTCAACAGAACTTGAACTAAAATATTAGAAATATTAGAAATATTATTAAATATCTATTTAATAATTATTTAATAATTATATTATTAAATATTTAATTATTATTAAATAAACCAGAAGAGGGCATCAAATCCCTGAATAGATGGTTATGAGTCCCCTTGTGGGTGCCGGGAATTGAACTCAGGACCTCTGGAAGAGCAGACAGTGCTCTTAACTGCTGAGCCATCTCTCCAGCCTCTGGAATTGGAACTTCTTAATTTTGGTTTTATAAGGATTTGTTGAGGGAGAATTCTACGTAGCCAAACTTGCACATAACAGAACTTATTCACTCTTAGTGCTCTGTGGTATAAGGAATAACTGACCAGGAATACTGCACCCAAACTGTAGTCCTAGCTTTGACAGCCATGAAAAATGGGATGTTAGCCAAACTTGAACCTTATAGTTTGGAATTGTCAGTTACATTATTTCTAACTTGTCTCCTAGCTCAAAAATTATTAATTTTAATTGTATCAGCTACTTCTCCACTTTGAAATGTTTAGTTTTCAAGAGTTGACCTGTTCCATAAAGAACCATCTCAGATTACCTCATGGTAGTAATGTCTAAGTCCAAAGTTCCCCGTCAGCAGAGTCCCACCGTCCTTCTGTTGAAGAATTTATCTACTCAGAGGCATGGGGTTTGAGTTCTTAGTCTGTGAAAATGAGTAGAAAAAGAGGGAAAATATAATGTTAGTGAGGTTGGAAATTGCCATGTAGCAAATCAAATAGTCAGTGGTCTCAAGTTGTTTTTTATAAAAGGAGTATTTTATTCTCCCCGACCCCTCAGAATAACTTAACATAGGCCCTAGCTCAACCTTAGTGTGTTTTTAGGAAAACTTGCATTTACCATAAGGAATTACCTTCGAAGTGTATAACAAATTAAAAAATTAGGCTCTCTGTGGACAGAGCTCTGTGTCTGCTGTAACTGGCGCATAGGACTGAGGAGATGAAGTTGATTGGGGCTGGTAGAATCATGCATGTTTTACTTTTAGGCGTGAAAGACTTTTGTAATTTTGAAAATATTTGGGGACATAAATTGTAGCTTACTTGTGATTAGTTTCACTTTTTGCTAGGCAGGAAACAAGTTCCAGTTTTGTGGCTGATTATTGTTTGTCTGCTTTTGAGTGGCAAGTTACAGATTATCACCCTTATTTGTGTTGAGAAAGCATATTCAGTTTTTCAGTAACTAACTTTGACTAATCCCTGAGATCATTTTTCGTATCATTTAAGCCAGATACTCAGCACTAGAAGCTTTTTTCCTCATCACAGAGGAAAGTTTGGCAGGACTGTGTAGAAAAGCCGGTGATATCACTGAGAACTGCATCCTGAAGGCACAAGCAGCTTAAAGTGGAGGAGCAGGGGAACTGAAGCGCCGGGGTGGCCGGGGTGGGAGGGGGTGGCTTGTCATCATCTCTGAATGGTTCCCTTTGTTCTGCGCTCACCCGGATAGACTGTAACCTTCAAGCCATGCAGACTGTGAGAGTCTGTGTGTCTGTGGCACATCATTTTCCCCTCCTTCCTTCCCTCAGCCAATTGAAAATGTCTCTTCCACAGTCTGACTTTCAGTGTCGGTGTCAGAATGATTTTCTAACTGGAAAAGCTGTGTAACTATGAGGTGGAGCTCAGCTACAGGGCCCTGGTCACTGTTCACAGGCAGCCAAGGTGTGGTTGTGCAGACCTCCAGCAGAGGTCTGGGGCCTAAAAGCCAACAGCGCCGGTGCTTTGGATAACTTAGAGTGCTCAAGTTGAGGTGGGCTTATAGCAGTAGGAAGGGAGTTCTCACTTTTGAGCTGTCATCTTGCTTAGTGTTAGGTAGCAGGGTCCCTACAGCTTCGGGGAAAATACTCCCAAGTAGAACCCTGTATTTCACTCATAAAAAATATAAGTAAATAAGATTTTTTTTTTTAATTGAAAAATACTGGCAAGATGACACAACAGGTAAAGACACTTGCCACCAAGCTTGGTGTTAGTTTGATCTCTGGAGCCAGGTGGTAGGAGAGAACCAATTCCTACACGTTGTCCTGTCACGTGCCTTTGTGTACATGCACACAAATAACATACAATGTAATGATTTATTATTATAGATGCTGGGAAGTAATTAACTCAGACATCTGACTTACAGATATGAGGGAATTTAGAGTGTTGTCCTAAAGGCATTATGGAAAGAACATGGGGGCCTGGAAAGACGACACATGAGTTAATGCTTTGCGCTTAGGACCTGAGTTCAATTCCCAGCACCCACATCTCACAGCTCAGACACCCTCTTCTGGACTCCCTGGGCTCACATGTACAGACATACACATATACATACAATTTTAAAAATCCTTTGACAAAAGGACCATACAGGGGGTGGGGAGGTGGCTTAGCAGTGAAAGCACTTGCCTAGAAAGCTGCAAGACCAGAGCTCAGGCCCTGAGACGACATAAATGCAGAGCGGCCAGGCAGCCGGGAGGGCTGACAGCTGAGAAGTCCAGAGAGGGTCCCAGAGCATGGCGACATGCATGCGCACCGCACATGAGAAAGACAAAATCCACTTCCATACTTCAACTGGAGAATTAAATGCCATTCTTTGAAGTAATACCTTTAGTCCAGTACCCCAAAGTGTTAATAACTTTCTTACTGCAGCATAAATTTTAAAATCCTTTTTCGATATTTAGAGAACGTATTGTTGGACGAGTTTTAGAAAAGATTCCCCAGTCCCAAGCCAGAACGCCAGTTGCAAGACTTGGAGTAGTCATCAAATCACGATGTTTTTCACAGGAAGCCGGTGCTCTCAGACCTAAAGTGTGAACCTCAGGTGCTTGAATTCCCTTTCTCCATGCCATGTTCCCAACTGTTCAACCCAAAAGTCCGAATGGTCAGGCGTTTACGTTTTCAGCCTGCCGCTCCAGCCACGGAGTTTCACCACAGCCAGCCGGCAATCTCTCACAAACTTTCGTCAAATTACAGTATTTTGTGTTGTTAGTGTCCTAGCAGGCGTCTCAGTTCCGGCTTCTTAATATTCCATTAGCGGCCCCCGGGCCGAGCGTGGGGCAGCTTGCTCTGGGCTGAGCTTGCTGGAAGGTCTGCTCCACTTTGTGAGGTCGCTTATTCCGGCCTCGGGGGATGTATTATCCCGCCTCTCTCATAATGTACTTGATTTGCCCGGAAAGCTGGGGGCAGTGATTGTGTGGGGTGTAGACGCACTGCGCTGCGCTGAGCGCGCAGGGACCTGACCCTGTGACTGGAGCTCAGGGATGCCACTGGGAACTCTGATAGCAAGTCATTTCATCTTTTGTGGATTTTTGTACTGAAATTTTGGAGTTTTTTTTTTTTTTCTTTCTGTGAAAAGTAATGGAAATGCTCTGCAACAAAAGTTTTTATACTTAAAGATAGCCTGATATAAGAGAAAGGATTCTGAGCCCCAAAGACTCTGGTTCCTGGAATCCCAGCACTTGGAGACTAAAAGAGGACAATAAGGTTGAGGCCAGCCTGGGCTGCAAAACAGAAGCCTGTGTTCCATTCCCATTTGTCTCCATTACATAAGATAGCCTCTTTTTCCTTTCAGTTTTTGTTGTTGTTTTTGTTTTTCAAGGCAGGGCTTCACTGTGTATGCCTGTCAGGGAACTCGATTTGTAGACCAGGCTGGCCTCAAACTCACAGAGAGCCACCTGCTTCTGCGTCCCAAGTGCTGGAATTAAAGGTGTGTGCCATTACTGCCTGGCCCCCAGCTTGGGTTTCATTTAAATGAGGAAAATAATTGCCTTCTGTGGCAATTTTGTGAGAGAATGCATATGTGAAGACTCTGTAAAGTACAAATAGTTTTATTTTTAATTCCTTTGTTAAAGAATGTGAGAATGAAAAGAGGCCATATTTTAAAACTATTTTTTGAGACAGGGTCTCACTATCTAGCTCTGACTTATGAGGAACTCACTCTGTAGACCAAGCTGACCTCGAACTCACAGAGATCCACCTGCCTGCCTCCCTCCCAAGCCCATATTTTAAAACATGTAGGTGAAGTAACAGGAGCTCGTGTTTAAAGGGTCAAACGCCTCAGTGTCTGTCCGAGCGGAGTTATTCTCCAGGGTTCACTCTCATCATGGAGTGAGCCGTCACAGCCACCTGAGGCTGAGGAGGGGCAGGGAGCCCAGGGAGAAGTTACACTGGCCCCATGGACCTTAGGAGGTAGGGCTCCTTTTTGAATGCGTGGGGAAATAAACGTGCTTGAAGATTGTACCACCGCATAGCAGCACCTCAGCGACTCCCGAGAGAAGTGCGGCATCAATGAGGGAGTTTTACAGCACCCTTTCCCCTGGAAATGATACATGCTCGTGTCGGAAGATGGTCTCTGGGAAGGCACTGTGCTCCATACAGCTCTAGAGATTGACGCCTACCTGGAATCGCAGAGGAGTGAAGACATGACCGACACAGAAAGGCTGGGCTTGGGTGCTCCGTCCGGGCTGTCTGCTGTGGACACCACAGC